ATTAGAAAGGAAAGAAAAACATAACTTAAGACTTTGATTTCTTTTCATGCATATCCCTCAGGTGCATACTGGTGTAAATATATCCCCTCCCCCGCCACACACACATTTCACAGTTGGGTATAAACTCCTGTAGGTAAAATGGTATACAGATGAAATAAATCATGATTAACCAATGCAATTTAACATCTTATTCTTGTACACCATTATAAACGATAAAATAAATATGTGTCAGTTTTTAAATCTCGGGGAACTTTAAGTTACAACACTTCAGTGACAGATTTATATATGCTAGGGCAATGTGACCACCCACCAACTTATTTAGACCATTCACCTCTGGTCACATGGGATTCTGATTAGCTGTACCTAATCTTATTCACCTTGTGTGAGGGTAATCCAATGTCAATTAATCCAGCCTTTTCCTCAATCTGTCCAGCAGGTATACAGGTAAATCAGAACACTGTACACATGTACACCTACAGGTAAGATACTGTAGCTGTCCCTTGATCAGAAGATGTTAGCTCCCAGGTTCAAGTTTATTTCACAGCAGTGCCAAACTCCACCTAGGTAAATTAATTTCTGCTTGAAGTTACCTCTTGTGCAAAAAATATTGTCTTACTCTGTGAATATATAATGATATTTAAACTATTACTTTGATAATGTTTTTATTTCTTTATGAATAATCTATTCATCATAATCTATTCATAATGAGTTATGCAATATGTGATTCAGTTGGAGTATCAAACAACTATTTTCAAATATTGGCTCCGTCTCTCATAAGGTCCCTTCTTTCTGATCCCTAAAAGCAACCATCCATTTACATAGAATTGAGTCCCCTTTGCCCAAGGATGCTCTCAATTTGGTCTAAATCTTTTACATTATGATACTAAAGGAGAAGAATTTTAATCATTTATTACTGTGTCCCCCCCCCCCCCCTTTTGGACCCCCCCCCTTTGCCCAAAGGGGGGGGGGGCCAATTCTCCCTTTAAATTGGGTCCCCCTTGCCAAAGGGTGCTCCATGCAAGATTTGGATAAAATCCCTCTAATGGTGCAAATGAAGGATTTTAAATATTTAAACCTCAAATTCCCATTCCGGGCCCTGCCCCACTGCACCCAGAGGGGCCACACCCTCGGTTTATACAAAACCGAGTCCCCTTTACCCAAGGATGCTCCAGGCCAAATTTTGATAAAATCCCTCTAATAGTACAGAAAAAGGATTCTTAAGATTTAAACCTCAAATGCCCCTATTGGGCCCTTACAACCCCTCTTCAACCAGAGGGGCCACATGCACACTTTGTTTATACAAAATTGAGTGAACTTTGCCTAAGGATGCTCCAGGCCAAATTTGAATAAAATACCTTGAATAGTACAGAAGGATTTTGAACTTAAAATTCCCCTATTCACATGGCCCTGCTCCTCTGCACCCGGAGAGGCCATATCCTCTAGATCTGTTTATACAAAATTTAGTCCCCTTCCCTATGGATGCTCTATTCCAAATTTGGATAAAATCCCTCCAAAAGTGCAGAAGGAGAAGGGTTTTAAATATTTAAACCTCAAATACCCCTATTTGGGCCCTGCTCCTCTGCACCCAGAAAGGCCACAACCTCCATTTATACAAAATTTAGTCCCGTTTGCCGAAGGACTTTTGGACCAGGTGAGCTAAAAATCATTATAAAGTTATTTTTATTTACATCAAATTTTTATCGCAGAAATTTGTTTTGTATCAATAAAGTTCATAAATTATCTACCTGGGTAACTGCCTTCTTTTGTAAACAAGGCAATCCATAGTCCCCAACCGGTAATGATTTCTAACTTGATCAAACAATACACTTATGTCAGGATGTAACTATACTTTTAAGAAAGTATCCTGATACATACTTCTTGCACTCTACCATCCCAAGATGTCCTTGTACTTAAAATCCGGCTACTCCAGGTGAAATAGTTACCAAGATATGCCCTGGACAAACTTTTTCAAAAGTTAAGGTCAAAGGTCAAGTCATATGTCACAGTGACCGAATTCCCAAGATGGCCTTGTATGAAATACTATAGAAGAAATGTCCTGCGCAAACTTCTCGGACAGAAGGACGAAAAAATGGAAGGATGGACAGATGGATGGACTGCAAACCTATATGCCCCCAAGGAACTAATAACATTAAACAAGAGGGCCTATATTGCTCACCTGGATCTTTATGCCAAGCAATGGTATAAATAGCTATGGATGGGGATCTCAATCATTTCAAAGTTATGAAGAATAAAGTCCCTAAGGGTGAAGCCAGATCCCAGGGTCCACTCTAATATATGATATTACATTTTTTTCCCTAATGCCAAGCAATGGTATATATGGCTATGGGTCCGGGATCTCAACTGTCTCCAAGTTATGATGCAACAATTTAGTCTCTAGGGGTAGGGCAGAACCCCAGAGTCAATAATAATATCATAATTGTGTTTGTTTCTAGACGCCCATCAAACGTATTATATGGTTATGGGGTGGGGATCTCAACAGTTTTAAAGTTATGGCACAGAAGTTAAGTCCCTAGGGTGGGGCCAGTTCCAACAGTCAATCCTAATATCATAATTGTGTCTGCCTCTTTATGCCCAGCAATAGTATATATGGTTATAGGGTTGGGATCTCAACTGTTTCATTAAATTATGGCTCAGGAATTAAGGCCTTAGGGGTGGGGCCAGACCCAAGTGTGAATTCTTATATCATAAGTGTGTTTGTTTCTTGATGCCTAGCTAGCAATTGTATACCTGCTATTGGTACAATTTTGAATCATCACTACCTGTTAATACTTCAATTGGTTGATATCCAACACTTTGTTCCAGAGAAAAAGCCCTTTTCAGGAATATGGCAAAAAAACACTTTTTGGCCATGCCCCTTAGCCCCCGGGGGGGGGGGGTCANGAGAAGAAGCCCTTTTCAGCAATATGGCCAAATAACCCCTTTTTGGACACGCCCCTTAGCCCTGGGGGGGTGTCAGCCCCTCCATTTGTACAATTTTGAATCTCCACCACCTACGAATGCTCCTAGTCAAATTTGGTCAAATTCCAATAAGCAGTTAAGGAGAAAAAGTCGTTTAGAGGCACAGTGGTCTAGTGGTAGGACGCCGGGATCATGACCGAAGGGTTGCGGGTTCGAGTCACGTCACAGTATTGTATCCTTGGACAAGATACTTTACTCAGCTTGTTCCAGTCTACTCAGCTGTAAATGAGTATGTGGTTGGGCAGTGCTAGAATTGCAGAATGCTAGCTGTGAGCGCAGAAATGGCAGCACCGGCTGTATGCTCCCCAGGGAGTTGAGAAAGATATTGGCTGGTTGCAAAGGCCCTATAACCTTGGATAATAATTTATAAACCGCCTTGACACGACCTACGAACTAGGTTGTAATAAAGCGGTATATAAGAACCTCAAACTATTATAATTACTATTATTGTTCGAAGAAATTGTCGACAGATGGACGCCACGGTATGGCATAAGCTCACTTTGGTCCTCTTGACATCTGAGCACTTCTTACTTATAAAGCTTGTAAAGTTTATTCTGCTCATATCATGATCAGTGATCATGAATGGAATGATAATTTATTTTAGTCTTAGGAATATCATGTTATCTTTACTTAAAATCAATAAATGATTGTTGCAGTATTTATTACATGACCATTTTCATATCGTTATCAATTAATAGACTTTTATTGAGGTGAATATGTGGTTTTAAGAATTATATGGACCTGAGAAAGTGATACTGACCTTCATTTCTGCCAATATCAGCTTCTCAGGTTCATCATATAACCACATATCCACCGAAATAAAAGTCCTTAGTTAATTGTTATCATTAAACAAGATGGAACATATGAAAAATGCACATTTGGAAGAGATCAAGCATTGTGATGTTAAAATTGAAATGACATCATAAGTGAATAATATTAACCTGCTGTTTTTGTAAAAATAGTAACATTTAGTCAATATCACAAATTAGTAACCTCCACATGATTACCTATGATCCTACAAATGAGATTGTAGGAAAATATGTGACATCTAATTCTATAGGGCATATAGCTGGACGGTTATGTTCCACTGACACCTGGTAAGACACTCTTAGCTATAGGGCATAGAGCAGGACGGTTATGTTCCACTGAGACCTGGTAAGACAGACTAACCATGGTGATACGATTGTATTTAGTGTAACCCTTTTAACATTTGTATCTAAGTAAATTATTAATAACTTCTCTATTCGGAATTATTTAATTGATAATATATATTAATTCCAACAATTGTCTATTACATACACTTAAAAGCACTTATATTATATTAGTAGGCTTCATTTATCCAGAATAAAGAACCAAAGAACTCGAAAAAGTGTTGTTTTCATGATATAAATCAAGGAGCTTACATAAACAAAGTGGAATACGAGCTCTCTTCAGTGGTACCACTACCAAAATGTACTAGAAACAAACTTCAGATCAAGCAATTTCCCACAATAAACAAGACAATACAGCATTGCAAGCCATCCAAAGTCACCTACCTCGAGACAAAGTTTGATATAATTATTAATGTACAAGGGGCCACAACTCTGTATGGCAGAACACAAGCTCCATCCAGTAATACCACTAATAACTAAGTTGGGTTAGTAAATAAATAATACTTTAGAGATATAGATTTACCTTCTTGAACTAGGTCTTCTCTGCCATCTTCCATCAGCTGACACATCACATTAGTTTTAACTATGGTGGCTGGCATTTTGGAGGTCTTCAGAAAGGCAATGTATGCCTCAGCCAACAGATCAGCATCATTTCTGAGAAAATGAACAGTAAACAAGTCAGCAAAATTTTGAAAAAATGACATCATTTGTGATACAAATTTCCTATACAGTTGATCTGTTTGTTACTCTATAAAAAATCTAATTTAGATAGTGAGTTTAAAGAATCTGATAAAAATATCACCACATCTACATGTTCAAAAGTTCCTCAAAATAACCGAGTTGAAAGGTATTTGACTTTGGCCACAAAATGCTTAAAAGCAAACCCCTTAAGATATTTTCATAAAAATTTACTTGACTATGGTTTGATTTTTTAATTAAATTCTGTTCAGAAATAAACCCACTGGAATGATGTGACAAGAGTTTGCCATAATAACCTTGACCTTTTGAAATACAAACTTGATTAAGGTATAATTCACATGATTGATTAATACCAGGTAGTTTGATTGAAATGTATTCAAAAATGAAGTTGCTAGAGTGATGACAAAGATTTTCTATAAAAAGTAACATTGCCCTTGACCTTTACATCCTGATAAGCACTCATTTGAGGTATTCATTTGGCTTGTTTGTGTTTACGTCCTATTACCAGCTATGGTAATTTAAGGATGTGCCAGGTTTCGGTGGTGGAGGAAAGCCGAAGTTCCCCTAGAAAAACCGTTGACCTACGGCCAGTACCTGGCGACTGCCCCACGTAGGCCTCAAACCCTCGACCCAGTGGCGGAGGGCTAGTGGTAGCAGAATGTCAGATGCCTTAACCACTTGACCACCGAGGTATTCCTATATACATGTAATGTGCCATTAGTTCGATATGTGATTAGGTCAAATGAAATAAAGTTGCTCGCCATGGAAAGATGGCTATAAATCGTAACTGTGACACAGACCTTGTTACCATGAAACACAAACTGATTCAAGGTCTCTCATACTTGAGTAATATCGTATTTTACCTCAAAACGGCACAAGACATAGGTAATTTAGAGAGAGGTTGCCCTTACTTATACATGAAAGTAATTCTCATTTTGGGTTTTCTGATACAGATGATCTACTAACATTAAATCATATGTTACTTTTCCTCTGTCATTGTGGCCATTCAAACTGCCAATATTGAATATATTGAGTTTTACACATAAAATCCAAATTCGATATAAGAGAACTCGGTTACCCCTTGTTTTGTCTGTAAATTTTCCCAACTGTTGTATATACCAACTCAGGATAACTGGTCCTCACATGTGGTCGAAACAACTTTAAATCAGGTGTTATTCTGTTTGTGTTTTTCATCTTACAAATTATGTATTACTTTGGATTTCAATTTTTTGTTGTTATAGTGACATAGAAAATGCCTTTTACGAATCATTTGAATCTTCAGATTAATGTTACATACCACGGTAATCCTATTTTTCAAAATATTTCCAAATACCCTGGAAAAACTCAAAATAACTGATCCCGACCCAGTACTCTGCTGTTTTATTTTTTTCTCTTTAGAAAAAGAACGAAGGCATCCTGTTCATGGGAAACACCTTTATAAGGTCAAATACGGTAAACATTTCTGCATGTTGAAAATCCACTTCAAATATGATCTGTTCAGTATTGAAGTCACAAGAGTGATAACAAAAGGTGAACATACACATGAACATACATATGACACATAAATGTATATGTTTGCACAATCATAAATAAATAAACAGATCGCTATATTTTTCACAACTTTATTGCGAGGAGATGTAATTAATAAAATAAAAAAAAGGAATGCAAATACAGTAAAACCTCCATATATTTAAATGCCCCTCATTTTATTTGCCAGCTGGCCATGGTCTACTGCATATTTCAATGTCCTATTTTACGTTTCACTCAATTTATCGCCAAACCCCTCTATAATGCCAAAATGTCTCAAGACAAACCGTGGCAGTATAATTCAACCAAATTGATTGTCATTCATCAGAGCATTAACCACTTCCTGTACACACAATAACACACATGTATATATAAAAGGTACCTACCCCTCCATGTATAATCTCATCAGTTTTGCATTCATGCCCCTATTGTGTTCCAATTTATGTACATTAATCTTTTTCAAACAGGAAAATGCTTGATCTGGTGGGATTAGCTGGATTAAGATCTCTGGTAGCACCCCAGGGACATATAGTGTACCAGATGTCCTGTTCATGTGTTTCAGGAAGTAATCAATCGTCTCCATCACTCCTGAAAGATTCAAGTCAATAGGTGCATGTATTGAAATAAATAATGTTTTATATTTTATTAAATCTGCTATAAATATTACATTTTATTTGACTATCACTGTAAATTTGTTCAAGAATATCAACACTAAAATATTTCAGGAATATAAAATGCTCATCTCTTTTGATCCCAATTAACTAATTAATTACTGTAATTGAGGATTGATCTGCATTTTGACGGTGTAATATTACAGTAGTATGAGCGCAGTCGTCAACAAACATATTCCATTAGTGTAATATTTTATATTTGTTAAACATTTATTGTCTTCGTTCTTGCAAAACACATTACAATGTTGTTGTATTTTAGATTTAACATGTTCCACCAGGTTTTTCGCCCTCCTGAAGCATGATAAATATTAGGAAAAGAAAAACTTGTCTGTCCCCCTCACAAGGACAGAGAATATTTTATTGCGTACACCAAAAAAAACAAGAGGCCCAATGGGCCTGCATCGCTCACCTGGTAATAATCTTACACTTGTAATCTTAAAAGTGGACTAAAATACAGCTACAGGCAGAATATCAGTGTTTGATTCATAAGAACATTTGACGCCTGTGACCTTGAATGTGAACAAACTTGGTAGCCCTTCATCCCAGCATGCTACAGGCCTATATTCAGTACCCTGGGCTTTTTGGTTATTCAGAAGAAGTCGTTTGAAGATTTTACAACATTTGACCCATGTGACCTTGAAAGTAGGTCAAGGTCATTCATTTGAACAAACTTGGTAGCCATTCATCCATGCATGCTACAGGCCCAATATCAGTACCCTGTGCCTTTTGGTTATTGAGAAGAAGTCGTTTGAAGATTTTAAGACATTAAAGTCTTTAAGACATTAAAGTTAAAGAGCTAAAAACTAACACAACAAAAAAGATGCTCAGGTTAAAGTGCGATTGTTGTCATCTGCTTCAGTTGCTCAGAACTCGGTCATATGTAGAAGTTCTACACTATTTTTCTAGAGAGGCTCCGAATAAGGGAAATACGACCGTGGGAACTCAAACCTGTAAGGGCAACATGATGTTTTATTTCCCCCCTATGTGATCAAGATAATCCAATCAGACATCCTGTTATATAGATGGAGATATAAGAATGTTTGCACTATAAATAGCAATACAATCTTTATCACATTTTACCTATTTTCTACCAAATACATGTAAAACCTCGACTTTGAACAGTCTCCAAAGGGAAACCTTTCTTTAACTAATTCTACAGAACGTTATCTACAAAGAGTTAGGAACTTGCCAAAGAAAACTTATCCTAAATGATTAAAATATTCATCCCTAATCAAAATTAAGAATTACACAGTTTTGCATTTTTGCATTATGTGTTTAATTCTGCAATGCACTATTTAAATGATAAACCTGACTATTTGCACATAGCTACAGTTGTGGGATCGCACAACGTTACAGGATGTGCGGTGTGCGCATGATGTGTGCACGGTGTGTAAACGGTGTGTGCACGATGGGCGAACTATAAAAAACTGGACGATCATTGCTTGCGCACATCTGTGCGCACATTGGACGGACGTTGTGCGATAACAATCGTGGTTGGTGTAAATTGAGGAATGCCTTAACAATTTATATGGTTTTGTGTTTAAACATATAAACTTGGTGTTTACGTATGTTTCTATATTCTAGCAACATCTGTAAACTTATCTTTCTGTCTAGACATTCTTCTATTTAGAAATTATGTTTTTTGTGTTTTTAAACAAACTTAATCGACACATGTAAAATTACAACACAATCCCGTATCAGAGGTAAACATAACCACTTTATAAATGTACCTGCAGGACCATAGTTTTCTCCCCGCCTGCATGGGGCATTTACATAACTCGTAGGGTAAGGCCGGGGGTGTGAAAATCCAGGTGAAGGGGAGCTATAGGCAAACGAATGCAAATAACAAATACTATTCATTACGGTCAAACGGTATCGCATATCAGCTCTGTGTGTCAGGCACTGGTCAGGTAAAACTCTGGACACTCATAAAATTGTTATTTACTTGTTCTGTTACCTTGGAGCCAAACCCATTCTTGACAGCCTATACTAACGGTCGCTGTAATTCTGTGTAACACGCAAATCGGACAGTTGTGCGGAGAGAAGCGCACAACGGGGCGAACGATTGCTAAATCGCACAGTTGGGCGCACCATGTGTGACGATGTGCGGACGGTGTGTGAACGATGTATGCACGGTGTGCGCACGCTATTTTTGGTGCGTTGTGCGGTCCCACAACTGTAAGATATAAATGAGTATCTAACACAAATGGTTACTCAAATTTCAGTGACACTAGAATAATTTACAACATATTTCTGATCATGAAGATTTTTTTTACTTCAAACCATTCTCAAAAATTACCATTTTAAGATATTTGTGGAAATTGCTTACCATCCTTATGGCCGTTCTTCAGCATCACAGAGGCACAAGACAACACTTTCGTCAGATGACCTGCATAAGCTGGGTTGAATTCAATCCTATAAAGTATATTATTCACAAGTTGACAAAAATGTATACACTTTTATTGTGTTATTGTTTTAGGAAAATTCATAACTGTCTATAAAATGGAGTTATCTTTTATAAAGAAGATATAAAACAGACATTTCAAAAGGTTAATGTACTGTTAACAGACTGTACCGGTCAATAAACAGGTACATTTGATTCAATATAAATAAAAAACATTTTGCCATAACCATGGATAATAATTTGTGAACCACTTTAATTGATACTACCTACAAACTAGGTTGTGATAAAGCGGTATATACAAACCTCAAATTGTTATTATTATTATTACACATACAGTTATGGGATCGCACAATGTTACACAATATGCGCACGGTGTGAGCGATATGTGCACGATGGACGAACGTTGTGCGATAACAATCGTGGATGGGTGTAAATTGAGGAATGGCTTAACAATATATAGGGTTTCCTGTTAACACATATAAACTTGATTTTTAAGTATGTTTCTATATTTCAGCCACATCTACTATGTATACCGGTTAGCTTATCTTTCTGTCTATACTTTCTTAAATTTAGAAAGTGTGTTTTCGGTGTTTTTTAAACCACTTTAATCGGCACATGTAAAATGACAATACAGTCCCATATACAGGTAAACATGGCCACTTTGTACTGTACATGTACTTGGACAGTAGTTCTCCCCCACCTGGAGCACTTAATTAACTTGTCGGGGTGTGAAAATCCAGGTGAAGGGGAGAAATAATAAACGTCCAGTTGTGTTTTCATAACGGTCATACAGTATCACATATCAGCTCTACCCGTCAGGCACTCATCAAATTGTTATTTACTTGTTCTGTTACCTTGGAGCAAAACCCACTCTTGACAGTCTAACGGTCACTGTAATACTGTGTAACATGCTTTGTAAAATTGTACGTAATCTTAATTATTGTGATGAGAAATTACAGTAATATATGAAGCGTACATTATTGGATACGAGCCTTTCGTATATTTTTCATTCCGTAATATTGATCATCAAATTGTACCAAATCGCACAGTTGTGAGGAGAGAAGCGCACAACGGGACGAGCGATTGTTAAATCGCACAGTTGTGTGCACCATGTGTGAACGATGTGCGGACGGTGTGTAAACGATGTATGCACGGTGTGCGCACGTTACTTTTGGTGCGGTGTGCGATCACACAACTGTTCTTTGTACATTTACTATTACATTTCCTCACTTAATTATATAGTCATGAACATAACTGTTAGCTTCTTTAAAATACACAGTAAAACTCATTATACTGCCATAATTTGTCTAGAGAAATTTTGGCATTATAAAGGGGTTTGGTGATAAAATTAGGGAAATGTATAAAGGGATTCTTAAGAAGACAAGAAAAAGGGAGATTGAAATATGATGGTGATACATGAGGTGGCAAATACAATGAGAGGCATTATATTGAGGTTTTACTGTACATTGTAAATTATTATCCACTAAATATACAATCATTTGAAATAAACTTAAAATATTTTACAATCATATGAAAGATATTTATCAATTCATATTAATCAGTCCCACACTTACATTACTTTGAGGTATTGTTGGCACTCTCTGTATCTGCCAAGTTTTAGGTACATATCCTGTATATAGGAGGCCGCTGATGACTCAATAACAGACTGTCTTGGGTCTTGACCGTGTTCTTTTTCTATTAGTTTTCTATACATGTCAAGTGCTGCTGCTTCATCCTGCATTGTAATGTTTTCAAAATATATTATAAAATCGGTACACAGGATGTAGAAGGTGTGTCTGGGAACTAAGCCTATAGACTGGAGAGTCTGGTATTATCGGGCGATTACCTTAAAACAAATTTTCATTCATATATATTAATTTGTTGACATTTACTGTCCAGTGATATTCTGTGTTTAATGGTATGAATTGCGTTTGCTAATTTACGGTCTAATTTTAGCAGTACACATAAATTAGCAGAGGAGATATATATATGGGCAAAAGCAGCTAAAATAAGAATATCACTTAAATTAGAAAGCTTATAGTATACAAAATGTAGGTGGTTATATTTAATGCAATTTTTAATAAACTGTTTCACTTATATAAGTTCTGCGAGTTGGTTATATTTCCATCTGCAGGCTACATAATATAATCCTATTATATGGAGTTTCAGGATGCTGACATTCCAGGATTAAACTTGCCTGATATAAGGTCTTCTCCAATATTCTTTTCACACAATCTGAATGTGTTCCATAATGTGGCTGTGTAAAAATAAAGGAAATACTTAGAAAATGTGAAGTGATTGCTATGTGAATCACTTGAGCACCATTACCTACATTATAGAAAATGTGAAGCGAGTGTTGTTTACATGGAACGGAGCTTAAATTAAACAACTACATTTTCGTAATAGTATGGGGAAACGCACCGAGATGTCGAAACGTAATGTCGTAAGTTGATCGGCGATTCTCTGGCTAAACTTTTTTTGTTAACGGTTACCTATTTAATAATACTTTTCACATAAACTCACATAACAACACATTATGTATCTTTTATTAATGTTTGACATAAATAAATTTGTTGATCGTCATTTGTCTTAAGAGTTCCGTGTACCAAGGGAAATAATCCAAGATGGCGATCTCCCAGAATCCTCGATCTTTTCCTTAAAAAAACTTGAAATTTTCTATACCTGTGTATTTTACGCACCCCCCACTTTGGGTATTAAAATTTCTGAAAAAAAAGTGCGCAAATTACATGGGTTTTTACGGTACATGAATGACTCACAAAGTACCAATTCCTACATGTACACTTTAATAATTATAAAGTTCAATTTTGTTTAAGATATTTGTACACACAGAGTTAATTCCCTTAATTTTGTTTTAACTGCAGCAAAACTGAACTAGCTAGGGTATAACCATGGACAAGGCACATATAGTTCAACTACTCAGAGTGACATCATATCAGAGGTCCTTGTTACAAATCTCATCTGGGCCCATAGTCATGAAACTGTTCTATGCTCAGGCATGGACTTTGTGTTCAAGCCTCATTTCTCGTTCTGGTTATAAATTCATAAAAAAAAACTATTTTGTCACTGATTTGGGGAAAAAATTGAAGAGCTGACAGCCTTGTACTATTTTCAATATTTACATTTGACTTTTTGTTCGTTTGACACGATTTAATTATATAAGTGAGTTACGAGAATGCTGGTTCGGGCACAGAATCCATGCTTGAGCATAAGAACGGTTCCATGAATAAGGACCCTTTCCTGTTGAATTTCTATACTCAACACAGTTGTTGGTTCTATTTGGTTTATTCCATCTTTCTTATTTTTTTCACAAAAATGTCCAAGGGTATGGAGGAGTTTTTTTTAGAAATATTTTTTTAAAGCTTTTGATTAAGGTGTTAAACAGTTTTGAATTCATACTTGGAGTTTACAGTTTTTGGCATTAGTAGGGAGACCACTGGTCAACTTTTTATAATCAATGTACTTTAAACAAAAGTTTCCGTTACCTAGCTAGCTATCACATACAATCAAAATTAGCAGGAAGTGCCTGTGTATTTGTTAAAGCTGCAACGATATATTGTATCGTAAGTATCATACTGTGATATGTATTATATCATGAGGTATGCATATCGTAGCAGCCCTAATATTTGTGACTTCAACAAACTATCATCAGTCTACATTTTATTCAAAAAATTCAACTTACATCTTTTACATGTCGTGCTAGTTCCTCGCTAGCCCTAGCTTCCTGTGTACATAAAAGATATGAATTAAAATTAGATATCAATCCATTTGATATACATAGTTGTAATTAGTGAAGAATATAATTACTTTAAAACAGATGTTATAATAGGGGCAACAGATTTTAACATATACACTGATATTTGTTATGCAAAAAAATAGAATTGCATTTAAAACAAGATTGGGCTTAGTGAAAGAAAACAAAATTCATCAACAGAAAAAGAAATTACGTAACACTAGTACTGATATTGTAATAAGTATAGGAAAATTACATGTACATGTAATTGGTAAAAAACAAAATTGCATAAACAGGCAATATGTTTTTTAATCAGTGCATGAACAAAAAATTATATTAAATTATATGAGATTATGAATATGACAATGGGAAAGAAAACTTGCATTTATGTATTGTAATGTGCTCAAAATAGTTTCTTAATTGCACATTCAATTCAGCCGGTATACACAAGTACACAAGTATGTAAACGAAATTAGGAAGCAGGCAAGGAAGAAACTTCATCTAAAAGCCTTATTTTTATGGATTCAAGTATAATATGATAATTCTCTATAAACGATCCCTGTAAAGTACAAGTATGTCAATCAAATCAGCTGACTATGATGAAAGGTTCTATACTTACCAGTGTAGGTAAATTCAAATCAGCAAGCGTCAATACCAACTAAAAACATATTTTGAAGGACATTAATCAGTTTAGTATTATTTATTTAAGCTAACTCGTTTTCATAAACACAGAGACCAGAATTTGAAAACTAATAGTACAATTGTACATGAGCTTAATTTGAGAGCACCCACGTGCACTTCCTTTGTCAAGCAAACAGTGCAAATGAATGTGGTCTACATACATCTGATAATATTTTAACTCACTGAGCAACATTGTGTTTGTCAATGAGAATTCTTTGGATGTGTATAATCTACAACCTACCATCCCTCCGCTAAATAAAGTTAAGACGACTTACAATTTTCCCAATAAAAGTCACCAGACAGTAGCAGAGCTTTCAGATTTATAGTTTGCTGTGTGGTGATTAATCTGTGAATTCAACTTTACTGCCACCATTAATTTCAAAAGCTGCAAACTAAACCAATAAGCATTTCTCTCCATTAACGTGAAATATCATATGGAGTGCTTCAATATGCTGTGTAAAGAATCCAGAACTTACTATATCGCATTCAAAATTACATGTATGCATGAATACAGTAAATTGATTATCACAAAAATAACAAAAGTCTACTCACAGTTTTCCAATTGCAATGACGAACATTGGAAAGAGTCTGTTTCAACTGGGAGGAGTTTTTAACATATTTCTAAAGCAAAAAAAACATAAAAAATAAAAGCAATATTATATATCACATAGTAAGACATTAATGATAAGAAAATAAAAAAATAAAATTGTAATAAGTTATCTTCATCTTTGGATAATGCTATGACAAAATTATTTCAAACAAATTAATAAAACAAAAGTTTTTATTCCCTTTTCAACCCTTTTTCTATTGAAAAATCCTGAAGTTTTTTCTCTTCCACAATCAAATTAATGAAAGTTTCAGAGAAGTCAGCTGAACACAAGCCTGCCTATGTTATAAATATTCTATAAATGTCATCTGAAAACAGGTCTAGTTTCTTTAATAAATCACCGTAAATAACATTCTAAATTCATACTCACTAACTCCTTCAGTTCTTTCATCAATGCCATCAAAAATGCTTAAATGTAAAAAAAAAAAAAAAAATGACCAGTGAAAAATTGTGAAAAAATATATATGATTTGTTTATGACTGGTATATAATGGATGTTCAATGATGAGGGATTTTATCCTGTCTATGTGTATATAATAGGCTAGTTTTGAATTAAAAGGAAAGAAATTTAATGTTTTTCTAATTGAAAATTGAAAACTTAAGTTTGGTAAATATGAAAAAGAAGCAAAGAGGGCCTGTATCGCTCACCTGGATAATAAAGCAACAATAGGAAATAATTCTTATTACATAAAATTCCTTCATTAGTAAAGAAGAAGAAGGATTTTGAGGATTTAAATCTCAAATTCCACTATTGGGCCCCGCAACTCTTCACCGTGAGGGGCCACACCCTTTCTTTATACAAACTTTAGTCCCCTGTGCCCAAGGATGCTCCAGGCCAAATTTGGATGAATCTTCCAATGGTAAAGAGGAAGCAGAATTTTGAAGACTTGATCCTCAAATTCCCATTTTGGGCCCTGCCCCTCTGCACCCATGGGGCAACATCCTCCGTTTATACAAAATTTAGTCCCCTTTGACAAAAGATAACCAGGCTAAATTTGGATAAAAATCCCTCCAACAAGAGGCCCAATGGGTCTGAATAGCTCACCTGGTATTAATCTTACACTTGTAATCTAAAAAGTGGACTAAAATACAGCTACAGGTAAAATACCAGTGTTTGATTCAAAATAATCTATTAATAGATTTAAACAAACATGCGACACATTTGACCTTGAAAGTCAAACAAGGACATTAAGTTGAACAGACTTTATAGTCTTTCATACCAGCATGCTACTGGCCAAATATCATTATTACCCTGGACCTTTAGATGATTCAGAAGTTGTTTAAAGATTTCAACATATTTGACCTCTGTGACCCTGCAAATGGGTGAAGGTCATTCATTTGAACCAATTAGGTAACGCTTCGTCCCAGCATGTTACTGACCAAATATCATCACCTTGATCCTTTTGGTTATATAGAAGAAGTCATTTACAGTTTTCAACATATTTAACCCCTGTGACCTTGACTATAATTCAAGGTCATTCATTTGAACAAACTTGGTGGCAATTATCCCATTATGTTACTGGCCAAATATAAACACCCTAAGCATCTTGGTTATTCAGAGAAAGTTGTTAAAAGGGTTTAAACATATTTGACCCCTGTGACATTGAGTATAAGTCAAGGTAATTTATTTAGACACACTTGGTAGCACTTCATCACAGCATGTTACTGGCCAAACATTGTCACCCTAGTCTTCTTGGTTATTTAGAACAAGTTGTTTTAAAAGGTTTTAAACATATTTGACCCCTGTGACCTTGAAAATGGACAAAGGTCATTCATTTGGGCACACCCTGTAGTCCTTTATTTCAGCATGCTACTGGCAAAATATCATCATCCTAGGCCTTTTGGGTATTCAGAAGAAGTCATTAAATGATTTAAACATATTTGACCCCTGTGACCTTGAATATAAGTCAAGGTCATTCATTTAAATGAACCTTGGTAGCCCTTTATCCCAGCATGTTATTGGCAAAATATCATCATCCTAGGCCTTCTGGTTATTCAGAAGAAGTTGTTTTAAAAGATTTTAAATATATTTGACCCCTGTGACCTTGAAAATGGACAAAGGTCCTTCATCCCAGCATGCTAATGGTTAAATATCATTAGCCTGGACCTCTTGGTTATTTCAGTAAAAAGTTGACGACAGACGGACGGATGACGGACGGACCAGATGAGCTAACAATGCAGAAGGAGAAAGATTTTAAAGACTTAAACCTCAAATTCACCTTTTCAGCCCCACCCCTCTGCTCCAAGTGGGTCCAAACCCACTGTTTATACAAAATTTAGTCCATGTGGCCAAAGGATGCTCCAGACCAAATTGGGATGGAATCCCTTAATCCCTATAGAAGAAGAAGGATATTAAAGGTTAACCTCTATTTCCCCTATTCGGCACCACCCCTCTGCCCCTCGGGAGGGAGGGCACACCCAGTGTTTATACAAAATTGAGTCCCCTTGGCCCAAGGATATCGATGCTGTAGACCAAATCAGGATTGAAATCCCTTAATCCCTGTGGTAGAAGAAGGGTTTTAAAGGTTTACCTCCATATCCCCTATTTGGACCAATTGCAACCCATCTGCCCCCCTGGGGAGAGGGGGCACACCCAGTGTTTATAAAAATTTGACTCCCCTTAGCCCAAGGATGCTCCAGTATTTTTATCCCTACTGTAGAAGAAGCATTTTAAAGGTTTTACCTCTTTCCCTTATTGGGCCCCACCCCTCTGCCCCCAGGGGTGCCACACCCACCGTATATACAAAATTGAGTGTCTTTGGCCTAAGGATATTTACAGCTCTTTACACATTAACTACATTTATAATACTCCCAATACTATGGAATTGTTTGATTGTATTATGGTCTGAATGTTTGTGAACTAAACTACTTGTAGAGGTTAAGCCAAACTTGATACTCACTTTCACTTTCTGCACAATCAATTATTACTTTGTTTTAAAAATTACAGCAATATCTGTTTTAATATATTTACCTATTGAAGATAATGATGAATCTTTAAACAACTTCTCCAAATCAATTCGAGATTCTTGAAGTAATTTTACTGACAATTTCACACCTCTGACAATGCTATCTGCTTTCTACAGAATAAAAATACACAGAAATTTTCTGGGCTGTTTCCAGTTTAATAACAATTTATATGACAATGAACTTATTTATCAAACTGCCAATGCAAGTTGAAATTATATTATGTTAATGAGCTATATACGATGTATAAAATTTAATGCAAACTAAATACTGCTGAATCAATATTATTATTGTACCATGCAAACACTGCTTCTTTTTACAGTAGATACATTGGTATATACATGTATGTATTCAATAATAAACAAAATGACTTTTTGATTGGATGGTTTATGGTGTGATATATGTCTAGCAAATATATGCTTACCTTTGCCTCTTCACTGTGGAGGAAATCATGTAAGAATTTACGGCCTCTCCTAGAGGGCTTACAGTACAACTGAAATGCTTCTTCGAGATACCCATTCAAGAGCAGACTATGGGCACACTTGTCGACAGCTTGATTTACTTCAAGTGACGGCTTTGCTGGAATGCAAAAACTGCCAATAGCCTGTAAATTAACCAAAATATTACAATCAATACATATACATTCAAATTCAAATTCATTTATTGACTTTGAGCTTTACAGCTCATCAGTATGTACACAATACATATAAATACAGTGGCAGACACTGCAATAACGCAGTGGAGAATGGCCAAAAAATGCATGTAGTTACATATATTTTAACATTATATCATGCTATTCCTCAACTGGGTAGCATCATATATATATATACTTAACATAGTTAAATCTTTAACGTTCGTTGTGCTTAATAATTGAATCAGCTTGAAAACAGATGGTTTTTTCCAGTAGTACAATTTTATACGTCTTTCTCTTAAAACTTGATAAAATGGACAAATGAACAAAAAATGGTATTCGTCTTCAATATCTTCAGAGTTACAAATTCTGCATATACGTTCATTTCTTACAATGTTTCGATATCTCCCAGTTTCAATATACAGCGTATGCGCTGATAAACGTAACCTAGTTAGAGCAATTCTATTTCGCTTTGGAATATATTTACATAAATATTGTTGTAATGTTAAATTATCAACTAAATGTCTATACAAAAAACATTTCGAGGAATTCTCTAATAATTCAAACAATTCTTGCCGTGCGTTATCAAAGATTCTCTGTTTAATAATTGGCAGGGCTTCAGACGAGTTCACATTATTTTGATTCAGCCACACTTCGCCAAGACCGAGTGAAAAAAGTTTGTCTTTCACAAAAGTTACCCAATTAAAAACAGTATTTCGCTTTGGCATATACATGAGTTCATCATAGGCAGTTTTAAGAACACAGTTCTTAGTATTTAAAAGCTTGAACCAGTACTTAATTAAATTATAGTGTCTGGTATGTACAATCGGAAATCTACCCAATTCAAAATAGATCATTACATTACATGTTGACTTCTTAACACATAATATCCTTTTGCAAAATTCCAGGTGAACTTTCTCAATATCTATGCCTTTGCACGAGCCCCATACCTCAGATGCGTAACACAGTATACTGGTAACATATGTGTCAAAAAGTTTAATCAAAGTATGGCAGTTTAAATTCATATTTTTACATTTTGTATATAAGGCAAATACTGACTTTCGACCTTGCCCGGATAATTGCTTTTGTACAATATTAAATTTATTGTTCCATTTAAAATCAATACCTAGATAAGTAAACTGTTCAACGACTTCTATTTTTTTTCTATCGAAGAACCATTCCTCGTTATTTCGTAAGCGGCCTCCATTTCTAAAGACAACAATCTTAGTTTTTGCCGTATTAACGGTCAATTTCCATGAGTTCGCATATATAGACAAACTATTTAACATATTCTGTAGCTCATTGGCTGATTCTGCAAGTAGCACCAAATCATCCGCATACATTAATAAAAAGAGACTGAGTTCTCCAAAATCATACGGTTTAACACCGTTAGCAATAAAGTCATTTTCAAAGTCATTTACATACATTGAAAACATAATTGGGGATAAAATTTCCCCTTGGGCGAGACCCATGTTGTTTGCAAAAAAATCGGAACATCTTCCCTTAGATGAGACACATGTCTTAACTTTTTTATACATGGCTTTCAAAATTGATAACAGCCTTCCTCGAACTCCTAATTTTGACAATTTATACCACAATTTACAACGATCGACGGAGTCGAACGCTTTCTTATAGTCAACAAAACAACAATATAAACGTTTACTATCATTTAGAGATTTTGTAATAATGGCATGAAGCGCGAAAATGGCGTCAACCGTACTTGTTCCAGGACGAAAACCAAACTGTGCATCTGTGATAATGTCATTCGACTCCGACCAGTCTACTAGTCTTTTATTCAGTACAGATGTAAAAAGTTTCGCCATACAGCTCAGGAGACTTATTCCACGATAATTATTAGGATCGTTTTTATCACCTTTTTTAAACACCGGGACCATCACCGCTTTAGACCATTCTTCAGGGAAACATCCAGAGTTAAATACATTATTAAAAATAGTATGTAAGGCTTGTAGTAAAATGTCACCAGCTTCAATAAAATATTCGTTTAGTAAACCATCTAGACCATGCGCTTTTTCTCGTTTTAGACGCTTGATAGCACATTTAATTTCGTCTGTAGATATACTACGGTCAAGTTCATCAAACACAGTGTTCCTATCAACATTTTCTTCTACATAATCATTATCCGACGGGTCGAGATTCGTGGCTACCTCCTTGAAGTGATTAAAAAATTCATCCAACGACACATTTGAAACAGTGGATTTTGTACTTGAGAATTTTTTATAAAAATAACGTGGATTGGTTTTCTGTAAGTGTTCCATCATATCTCCCTCGACCTTCCTATATTGCCTTTTACATGCGGCTTCAGAACGTTTGTATTCCCGTTTCCTTCGTATTAAAAGATCATGGGTTTCATCACATTTATTTCTGTTAAAATTATTCAATGCAGTCAGGTATTCTCCCCTCAAAGCACGCAACTGCCTGTCGAACCAGGGCTTATCTTGTCGAACTCATGCACGTGGAATGGATTCGTCTGGTGACCTTGTCGCGCTGTCACGTGATGCCCCGCGTGACCTCATAATAAACGGTGATAGTATTTGTAAGAGTTCATGCGTGAATTTGTAAACACTGGAATTTATGGCCTCTTGTGTTGTCTCCCCGTCAATAGTTGCAACCTGATTAATCTTGTCTTTATTTTCCCTGATTGCAACTAATGTTCAAAAACATACGTGAAGATAACAGATATAAATATTACAACTTATAATATATGCATCTGTCATACTTGCGTACTTTCCCTATTTAGGAGTGAGACTCCTGATTTTGGACCCTTAAATTTATAATTTTTAACCAGTGAAACTATTCCTATATTCCAAGATCTCATGATTTCAACTAAAAGAACAACTCAAAATGTGTCATTTTAAATGGCTATTTTGTGTCTAGGGGTTATATACACACATTTTATTTTTATGAGTTAATTTTGACCATGTGTAGAATCTCCCCCCATGGAAAGGATGAGTATCTACAAGGCCCTTTTTTGGGCCCTGGTATATTTGGATTTTCACCTCCTTATTTTGTTCAAAGATGTCCTACTGTTTGACATGCGGAAAAACTAAGTATAACTTTGACCGAAGGTGGGTTTCTGGGGGTACCAAAAGGGGTATGTTAAATCACAAATATAGTTTGCTGTTTTCAAAATGAGCTTAAAAACCAAAATAACACCATTTTTGAACACATGTATAAATAAGACAAGCATATTTAACAGAATGAAAAATGACAGAAATTCAATCGTCAATTAAAGATTGTTTATATAAAACGAAGGTTTAAGTCAGGGGGTCTTTTCGGTCATTTTCAATTGAAAAGTAATTTGTTTTCTCAATAAATATCCTTTCTGATTAATATTTTGACTTGAAATTTACAACTTCACTCATTTAAGTAGACTTACATACATTGCATATTGACTACATACTTTCCTTTTGTTTTATACTGAGTTATGGCTTCTGGACGCATTTCAAACTTGGCTATTTCAAATATCTCTCAATTTTAAGTGAATTAAAAGGTGCATGACACCCTTTATATGCTATAAGTATAAGATATCAATTGTTAGTATTGTATATTATATATATATCATATAATATTTGCTCAACACCTGTGGCTGAAGTGAGTTCCAGGTCCTAATTTGTTTTTTTACTTTGATTCAGATTGGCAGAGACTTTATTTGATGTAGGTTTACTAGGATGTAACGTTTAGTCAATGAACAGCCTTTCAGTTTGAGCAATGAGTCAAGACACTACCAATTAGAAAAGGCATTCCATTCAGTTATGTTGCCCAATGATGATATAAATAGGTACAATGCATTTTAATACCATTTACCATTTTTTAAATATTTTAATGTACTACATGTAAGATAACGTTAACTAAAATTCAGGTTTTAGTTATAACAGAACTGTAATAGGAGAATAAAGTATGCAGAGCCAGACAGGGACTCGAACCCAGGACCTTCCGAACTCTAGATAGATGCTCTACCAATTGAGCTACATGTACCTGGTCGCCTACAATCAACCCACTCCTTTTTTTAAGTCTTCACCCAAGAAGACATCACTATTTGCAAACCAGGTTCGGGTACAACATGTACCTCCTTGTCAAGCATACATCAATTGCTTGAAACAAGGGTTAGCAAGCCTGCCAATTTTGTAATAGGAGCATATAGTATTCCTCCTGTTCACATTATACTGACACTTAAAACCTCGTTCTTACCTATACCAATTTAAAGCAGAGAGCAGCTTTATGGATAATTTCAATTTTAAGAACTTGTGAGCTGGTTAATTATAATCAGGACATCAACAAATCATATCGGCTAATGGCATTCATATCGCTGATATATGGGCTAATGGCATTCATATCGCTGATATATGGGCTAATGGCATTCATATCGCTGATATATGGGCTAATGGCATTCATATCGCTGATATATGAATATAGAGAGTATGAGTTTGATTTTGATTGATTAATTACTTAGCTACATATACATGTACCTTATTGGCTTCTTCCTGGAATCTGTTTTGCAGCAGAGGTAAAAATATATGTAACTGAACCATGATTTTGTCATCCATTTCAGCAAAATCCTCATCTTCAAACTTTTGCAATGTCTGAAATATAAATAAGCATACACCAGTTAAAGGTACAAAAACGCTACATCTGCCTGACCACTACAAATCCCTATCCCAAAATCTAAACATTGAACGTGTCGTTTTGTTAAACACTGGAACAATCAAAGAAATTATCAGAAGATTTTTACACACACCTGACTTGGTGACCTGGAATGTGGGTCAAGATATATTTGTTTAGCAAAACTGGATACCAGCAAGCTAAAAGCCAGATATCATGGCTCTGGACATTATCTTTAGAAGATTTTTTTAAGATGTGTACACTTAACCATCCACTTTATTTGAACCAGTGACAAAATACATACAGCTGTTCATGAGGAGAAATTGTTGAAAATTGAAAACACTGATCATGATTCCAGAAAGGCAGTGAATGTAAGATCATGTTAAGATAAGATAAGATAAGCTTATTTCTGGCACAGGTTCATTTCTGATCCTCTACACCAGACTCTAATGATATACATATTCAATTACAGTTATACAATGTATTAATGTTCATATGTTCAGGACATCAGTTTATAAAGAACAAGGTGAACTAAAAAATAATAAGCTTTTCAAAACTTAATATTTGAATGTCATTGTATTGTTTTCACCTTTGACTCCTTGATATGACCTTGACCTTTAGAAGCAAAGGTCAGGAAAAAATGGTAGCAGCACAACATGTAATCGTTATAATTCCTCAATGATCTTTTTATAAATTGCTGTTCAACCCTTCTAACAAGTGTTATTTCCCTGAGAAACAGTACGTTGATCTGTTTAGATTGTCTGCGATCTTAAACTTGGAGGAACAATGGTATGCAGCTTCGTCTACCTTTGTAGTTCAGCCATTCGTAATCAAAAGATACTACCTGAGGAGCATTAGAATGAGTCATCCTTTGACCTCTTGTTGTGACCTTGACATTTAGGGCATTGACATGAGAGTCGGATACATAACAAACCATTTAGACGAGACATTTATTTTTATATCAAGTTTACAGGTATACAATAAAAGATCCAAGGATATTTATTTATTACTCAGATAGTTAATTAAAACTAAAATTGTACTTAACACCTTTTTTACCTTTTTGATCATAGGCTAAAGGCCAAACAACATGACTCTTGATCCCTTGGTTTGTAAGAAGAAGTTGGTTAAGACTTTGACAAATTCCACACCTAGTATGACTCTAGTACTAGTGTGGATCAAGATTATTTATTTGAACACATTTTACAGCTTTTCTACCAAACAAGCTTTGTGTAAAATGTATGGCCTTTTGACCTTGAAAAGAAATATTACTTACAGATTTTTGATACACTTAAATGTGTGTCATTTCCCTTTGTTTGAATGAACTTGATAGACCTTCCTTGCAACAAGCTACAAGTTAACTACATGTATCTTTACTCTGTTGTATAGGGGATTACCTTTTCGATAGCATCCATGTCTCCAAGCGTGGCATGAAATTGAAGCATAGCACCATAAGTATCAAGGTCCTGCTTGATGTTGTGTTTCCTGAAATTATATGTATAAGTAATTTATCATAATAATGTAGGCCCACAGAAGAGCAATTGTTGAAAAAAAAAAAAAAAAAAAATTATCTAAAGCAAATGAATCTCTTAATTAATCTTTTTTCATCATAATATCATGGCTATCTTTATTTTCACATCGTCTTTTTTATTTCAACATAGTGAATCAGCGAAAAGGACTTAATAATGTGGCAATTCATCACAATGAACTGATATCTTGTCAATAAACACAACTTTGGATTGCCATGATTTTTCAAATGTATTTCTAAAATCTCAATCGTTGTTCACAAACCTCATAATATCTAGCATGTCGTCAGCAGACACAAGCCTGAAGAGAAAGATTTAAACTCAAAATTAATCTATAATCCTAGCATTAGTATTAAATTTATATTGAATGTAAATTTAACTGCTTAATTTGGGAAAAAAAATCCCCTTCACCAGTGACATGTGTCTCTCTTCTAAAGAATAAATGCAGCAAACTATTAATGTATGTACATGCATCTAGTGTATAGACATAAACACAATTTAAAATAAGAAAACAAAATTCAAATAGGAACTCCTTAAGTTATGATCCCAGCATACTTATTAATTCTTTCTGTTTTCTTTTTTGTTCCTTTGAAAATCTCTTTATGATCCTAGTCTGCTACTTATAACCCTTGTATTCCAAGCCTACTCCTTTCAGATATTTCTTTTGGTTCCATCATTCTCCTTTCCTCGATCTATTCCCAAAGTGAAAACTTATTATGGTCCCAACCTGCTCTTTCTATTTACCCTTGTGATAAACTTTGTATGGCCCTACATTAACTTCCTACTTTTGACTTTTGTCATATTCAATTCTTATGGCCTCAGCCTGCTCCTTTTCAATTTGTCTCTGTACAAACTCCTGATTCCATCCTGCTTTTTATCTTTTGCCCCTGTGAAAATGACATTTTTCAAAACAAAGGTGGGTGTGGCTGTCTTTTTTCTACTTATAATGAAAAAAATGAATTATGTTTTCCCCCCAACTGAAACGAATTCCGGTGAATTATAGAATAAATATACAATATGAAACTTTCAAATGCCAAACTCTGCCTTTTCATTTTCTTACCCTGTCTTTGCATATGCTGTTACCAAACACTTAAAACAGTGACTGTTTACTGTCATGCCTGCATCCTTCATCTGCTCAAGAATTTGACTGTGAACAAAGAAAACAAAATCAAATTGTTATTCAAATTCCATCAACATAATCACTAATTAATTTCTGTAACATGTCACAGTTATTGGTTATTTTTTACCCTTTAACATTAACAGATGATCACGAAAATCTCATCAGGTTTAGAATTTGTTATAACTATTCTAATGGTAGCAGAAAAATGCACTGCCAGACCATCTTAAATCTAGATGGACGCCCTACCAATTGTGGCTATCGACTCAGTCTGGTTCAGCTACACTACACTTTGGCCTAAATATAAGCTTAAAGTATTCATAATTCACAGGATATTTTGTGCTAAAGCTATCGACTCAGTTTAGTTCCGTTACACTACACTTTGGCGTAAATATAAGCTTTAAGTATTCATAATTCACAGGATATTTTGTGCTAAAGCTATCGACTCGGTCTGGTTCCGCTACACTATATTTTGGCGTAAATATAAGCTTAAAGTATTCATAATTCACAGGATATTTTGTGCTAAAACTATTGACTCAGTCTAGTTCCGCTACACTACACTTTGGCGTAAATATAAGCTAATAAACTATTCATAATTACAGGATATTTTGTGCTAAAGCTAACGACTCAATCTAGTTCCGCTACACTACACTTTGGCGTAAATATAAGCTTAAAGTATTCATATTTCACAGGAGCTTTTTGATATGAACAGACACACTGACAAAGCGACTACTATATATATATGTAGAGTTGTCGCCAGTTACTACTAGGGTTGTCACCAGTTACTACTAGGGTTGTCACCAGTTTCTTGAAAATCTTCTGACTGAGTAACCAGTTAATTGGCCAATTCAGACAATAAATACATTATACTGTACGTTAAAATGAATTTTCACATCATAATTTTTCATTAATGTTTCATGATGGTTTAATAACATATTTTAAGTTCTCAACAGTTTTACACGGGAAACATATTAGTGTATTTTATTAATAACATCTCATGATGGTTTACTAACATATTTTAAGCTCTCAAAAGTTTTACACAGGAAAAATATTAGTGTATTTTATTCATAACATCTGTCAGCATAAAGCAGGACACAAGCTATTACTACTCGATTTGGTTATATTTCACTGATATCATTCAAATGGGTTGACAACCCTAGTATATACCGGTACCCCTCTCACTAAGCCCGGGCTATAATTAAACCCACCAATGTACACTTTCAAAAGAGGATTTTTATCAAACTAAAAGTTACATGTAATATATTTTGGTTGATAATGAAACAGCTTGACAACACTTTTCTATCATCAACACAACCATTTTTTATCGAAAATGATATAAAAATGTGGGGTGTGTGGTAAAAGCCGGGTCATGTAGTTTGAGAAACAGAAAATACCAAACTGTTTACTTTTGGTCTTCAGAAATGAAACTGTAAACAGGAACTTGTCTATAATTTTTATGTTAATGAAAGAGACAAATAGAATGGTTTCAATTATTCGTTACTTAAAATATTGGAAAACAAAAAATGTCTGTACTGTCAGACACATTTTTATATGTATCAAACCTAATTCGACAGGTTAATTTGAGAAAATACATTACCATCCCTCGTCCACTTCTCCGACGGAGCAATGATAAGAAAGTGCAGCCTGAAGAAAATCCTGACCAAAAAAAGGTGAAAAGTACATTTGTATAACATCAAATTTTTTACAATCATTCCACCAAAAATTGCTTGCAACATTATTTTTTTACCAATATTTGTCGCCTAACGACTTATTTGTTCTCTTGTGATCAGTCATCATGTAGTGATCTTAAACTTACATTTTACTATGAAATAAATCACTGTATATTGAGTGTACTTTATATGGTGAAATAAAACACTGCATCAGGGCCCATTTTCCATTATTGCAGGACCAGAACTATTAATTAAACTGACCGAGCGATATGATTGGCAAGCCTTGACTAAGATTTTAAAGGCCTACATTTTATCATCTGAAAGTCTAAAAGCTTTTCTGACGAAATATTACATTTAATAATGGACAAATCCTTTTGCCTGTCTTAAAAACAAACAGGCCCCTGGATATTTAACTGATTTGAGCTCGAGGGTTAGATGAAAAATAAATGACACACATCAGAGGCCTCCTGTGCTTTTATTTTGCTCAAAATTCGAATAATTATGCTGATGATACAATGTATACGTGTATTCCAGAAATAAAACAATTTTAATACTTTGTTTTTACAGTAAAATTCTCTCACGTCAGAACAATTAATAAAAATTATGTCTAACCACAGATTGGATATTTCAAATATCCAATTTTACTTAACTGATTTCAAATTTTGCTCATAAGCTTTATAATATTAACAAATCTATAATTTAAAATAATAATTATGAAGACACTATGTACATACATGTAATTATAAAGGATTTGTATAATGATCCTCACCACATTTGACTGTAAACCGGAGTCTGCCATCTTTTGTCGTATTTCAGGAATACTGATCTGGATGTTACTTTCTGAACATGCCATCACATAGGATGTATAAAGTGATTCATCACACTCAAAATCTGAAATAAGAAGGTCTTGTGTATATAATACATATATATCAACATAATAATTTCATATAGTTTGTTAGAAAGACTCTAGGGAGCGTTTCAATTTAAAAACAGAGCATATCAGCATTTATGATGCTACTTGTAGTTGCAGCACCATATTTCATACCCTAATGAATATTGTTTGGCCTCCTACTTGGCAAGTGTATCTAAAAGTTGAATGTTTGTGTGGAGGTATTTAAGGTAATTTAAATACCCTCTAGATAACGTTTTGATGTATATACATTCATATAACGCTTAAAAAGAATTATCATCTGTGGATATATAATATAAATAAAAAATGCAGTTCCAAAGTTCAGATTTTGCACTTGTTCATCGACACAGTTGAACTGCTAAATTCATTTTGGTCAAAATGACCCGGATCCTTATCTGTATTTTACCAGAGTGAAGTTCTCATAAATATCTGATACACTGTTGTACAAATGTACATAAAATTGTTGTCATGTAACAGATGCGGAATGCAGTATGTCAGACAAACATCGACGACGATTAATACACGCATTCGCAATCATTTATATAGTATCATTCACAACCACCCGGACAAACCGGTGGCGGGACATTTCACGTCTCCCGATCATAACATACATAACGTCATAGTTACGGGTATTGTTAAAGACGTCACGGATATTAACTGTCGTCTCAGAACAGAAGAGAGTTGGATTCGTATGCTACGTACAACTCAACCAGAAGGTTTAAACATTATAGCTTGATGGCCAACACGAAACAGACAACCTGCCGCAAACGTAATACTACAGGCAAAAAACTAAGTCTACTGTGTATCAGATGCGGGAAGACGTACATTAATCTCAGGAATTTACGGAGACATGCGGACATAGCACATGGTCTCATACAAACATGGTATAAATGCAAACTCTGCAAACGCACTTATGGGAGAGAGGAAACCTCAAGGACAAACACCCGGGATACCACGTGGAACCGGAGAAGTTTGAAGACTGCACCAGAGTACAGGCAACCAAACCGGACAACAAACGCCCATTTGAGGCGCTTACGAAAACACAATTAGATCAGGTGAAATTCAGAGTGAAACCAGGACATGGGATAACTACAGTGGGACCACCTTGCAAACAATTCAGGCCGGTACTAGATGAAACTATAGAGTTACTCAAGGCTGACCTAGAATTATCAGAGAGTGAATACACGGCATCCACGCCAAATACATCAGAAGAAGACTACGCAATGAGAGACTACAAGACTTTGGGATATAAGTCTCTATCCACATCCACTGTTTGTCAGGATGAACTTGAACATTATAACTCAGTTTAATAATATTTAGGGATAAAAGAAACTTGTACTTATGTCTAACTATATATACACATTTATACACATATATATTTAAAATAGTCAATGAATTGTATGTACATTGATAGTATTTCAGGTATTGATACTATAGACTAGAATGCTCATCTACTAATAATAACCGTGATGGAACTTTCTAGAACGTTATAAATAGATATCACGTGACGTTACCTGTATTACGTCATACTATACACAATATATATGTGCCCAGAATTTTAGTACTTCAGGGGACATATTTTGTTATCAAATCGTCCTGAAGAAGCCAACTGTTCGGACGAAACCGGTAGACATACCCAATAAATAAGATTCAACTTATCCTGAGCTTGTTGCGATTGACCCCTACGCTTATTTTCCTATTCTTCAATCGCCCTGCATACTGGTTGGTATCCAGGCAAGGGATAACGGAACCTACCGAACATAAACTACAATAACGGCGTTGGCTCTACTCCTGGATCGATATTAAAATTGTTGTTAATTCATTTTAGACATGAATTTTTTGTTCAGATGTAGAAGAAAGGATCAGAATCAGAACTGGCGGGATATTTTCTGAGGGAATTGAGGAAAGGCCCTTGGAAAAATTTAGGAAAATTCATTGATGCATTGGCTGTCAAATGGAAAAAAATCTACGATATATCAGCAACAGGCAACACAGATTTACAACATGTTAACTCTTTATTCATAGTTAAAAAGACATTTGTGTGGCTTTCTTTTAAAAGATCATTTATTTTCAAAACATCATCTAAAAGACTAAGATATTATCATTTATTAAACATTAATTCATTTCAGACATTATATGTTGCTTGTCATCTCAATACAAGATTAACAATTTCCAAAAATCTTTTTTTTTCTTTTTTTTTTAAAATCATAAGCACTAGTTTCTACTGATAATGAGGCCAATTTCTGTCCATAATGGCCCAGAAAAAAACCTAACTATACAAGCATGTATATAAACATATTTATGTTTTAATTGTGTTTTAACATTAGCCTATTTCGAGGTCATGTCATTCATTCATTGGGAAATAAATTTGTTCTGTAATTCCAAATTTGGACATTTCACCACTTTATTTTACATGCCTTGGGTTCAGACTTAACAAAGAGTAGGTAGACTGTGTAGATGATCCCCAGAACAGTTCTGATACAATTTACCTACCACATAATGAGTTGATTATCTTCCACAGTAGACTTGTCAGATTGCTCTTCTGTACAGTGGACATATGCTTGTTGCCGACAATTATGTCCAGTAGTTCTCTCCCAAGCTCTGCAGATAGTTTAAATGACATTTTCCCCTCTTTAACTGAAAAAATAAGAAAACGGTATTGAGACGATCCTTCGATGTACATCAAAAGAATCTCGCAGTCACGCAACGGTGAAAATTGTAATCTTCAAAGGACTGGTATCAGCCTAGCGATTGGTCAGGTTCTTTTACTTGAGACCAATCAAAAAGCTATCTTTGTACCTTCAATTATGCTACGACATATTCCAGGGGTGCAGAGAGCAAAAGTGAGCGAAACCTCTGGAGTATTGAGGATGTCTAAAACATCACATAACACTTGATTTATATATGTATATGATTCAACATGTAAATATAAACCAATATTTATTTTGATGTGATTTCAATTTATATAGAATTTTGAGGTATCTGAAAATAATAGCCCAAGTTTGTAATTAAGAAAGAAAATTAGCGAGAACAGAGAATGTGTGATTGAAATATAATTGTGACATGTGTATAATGTGTAACAAGAAAGAGTAGTGTGATTCCAATCAGTATTGTACCCGCAATCCTAGACTTCCTAGTCGGCAAACTCTATCACTGAGCTAAAGGAAACTTGATCTAGCCCAAAGCTATAAGGCGACCGTAATCCTATGCATAATTAAAATCTGCCACGTCACCATGTTCCCCACTTTTTAAATGTGTTCACCCTTGAACACCACAACAACTCAGGTTCTAACTCCCTGTTGCCACAGGGAGGACCATGGACACTATTTGTGACAGGAAAGAGAGCAGTGTGTTTGATTCACCGTGAATCAAACTCTCGATCCCGACTTCCTTGTTGGTTGCTCTACCAATGAGCTGAAGGGAAATTCCTTCTAGCGCAAAGCTAAAAGGCAACCGAAATCCTATATACATTTCAAATTTTCCACAAATGTATACTGTTGAAAAACTTCAAAAAAACATATTTAAATACAAATTTTATTCGTTTCAACATCAGTGGCTAGATGGGTGCTCACACCCACATTACATAGTAATAATACTTACCTTTGTTTTTTAGGTCCATCACTATGGCCAGCACATTCTCGTAGGAAACATTTCTTGGCTTGTGATGGAGAACCTGTCTCAATGTGAAGATTAAACTCTTGGTCCATATCTCTGGGGATGTAGAATCTGAATGCCTTACATGTTGAAGGGAAAAGTTTTCATGCTGTCGACCATATATAACTTGCCAATTTCTGCAACATTCAATAAATTGTATTGTCATTCTAATACATGTTATGCATATACACATTGCATTTGTAGAAATGACATACATCTCAAGTAAGCTATGCATGACTAAAAGTGTGAAAATAATATAACAATGGATCATTGATTCTCTTTTAAAACCTCAGCCTCAATTTATACCTGACCAAGCTCAACTTGTATAAAACATCTCAATTCTTCAGATTTTCTCAAGTCTTAAGATTTCACAAAGACAATACATTGCTTGAGATTTTTCTCAACTTTGAGATGTCTTATACTAGTGACATCATATCATTATATCGTATTCATGCATATGTGTCTGAATGCTTTTGAATTTATTTTGATACCTAAAAAACAGGGAAATATAAATTGAGCAAAGCAGTTTCAGTCACGTCTGAGAGCAGCAGCCAGGTTTGTCATGGTTTGTACCACACATATTCACCCGACACAGTCAGCAACATGAGTGACATTCAAGAACTGGGATGGGAATTAAAGTCTGAAGCTACGACGATCCAAACCTCGACTGACCATGATGTACAAGATCCAGAACGACCTGGTGGATATCGCAGCTGATAAATATACTTCAAGTGGCTCCACAAGAACAAGAACTCGGGTCTCATAGGGTGCGAACAGTACAGACAAATAAGGAATGCTACAAACAATCCTTCTTCCCCAGGACAACACAACAGTGGAACAGCCTCCCACCTGTGACAGTGACTGCCCCAACCCTGGCGGCCATTAATATAAGACCTGAGCTGGACAGCCTTCCAGCAGGTCACAAGGCCTTCTCTGGATAAGTTTGTACTATCAGACTTTTGATTGTATATATATATGTCATGACACAAATCGGATCATCATCAAGGCTTGAATTTTGCAGTATCTTACGCTTCAAATGAATTTTTTTTGTCAACATATTATCATTTATGAAGACCTTTATAATTTATATGATAAAAAGTATTTCTACAGTATAGTGTGAATATAGTCCAAAACAGAATGCATTCGTCGCACGGGCTTTTTTTTTTAAACGTGATCAAAACACTGATCGACATTTGAGTTTGAATTACGTTTTCTTGTGCTATTTGAACTTAAAAACTAATCATCTGTAGACGAAAAATGGTGCATGGCTATCTATTCTAAGACTACATCATTGTTATAACTGATTTGTTGACACATTTATTTATTTATTTGTAGTTTTGCAAAAGGTGATCCGATTTGGGTACAGTACTGATCAGGTTTGGGTACTGCCGCCTTATGCTTTAATATCTGCTTATTACCTGGTATCAATGGTTTGTACTGGTTTGGATGATATGTGACTTCCCACTGGTACTAAAAAGCAAGGGTGTCTGTCCTTGGTACTAACTAAACACAGCACGCGTGCTATCCCTGTTCTTATACGACAGTATGACCGTAACAGGGCGGCCATCTTTTTGTTGTCTGGGTCACAAATCACCGTCCGTATAGAACTGTAGTAACATAAACCGCCAGCTCAGCTGCTGCTAAAATCAAACTTGTCAAACAGCGACTATAAGGAGTCAAATATATGTAACACAAACAAATAAAAAAGAATCAGGATACGTATTCCCTCGTGAAATTATTGAAGAAAATACAAGATACAGGATACAAGTTTTTCTCTGTAGCTATATCCTCGGGTTACCGGTTTCCGCGCACTTAAGAAGCATCCGCGATTTCGTACTCATATCGGCAGAAAACTGTTGAAATTACGGAAGACTTTCATAAACATGTATACAATCTACTAGGTAAAGGAAACAAAAAAATAGCAACATAAAACTGTATTTTAACATATGTTTCACGTGTGTCTACTTTGATTTAGTGTTCAAAGAAAGATAATTCGAATACACTAAAAAGAAATTCTCTACAGTGACCTGCAAGAACAAAAGCTTCGTTTGGAATAAAAAATATCTTTGATTGTCAAATTAATTATCAAAACAACTTTTTTTAAATTTCACAATTTTAATTGATTTTTCAAGATGTCAAATTGAGCGAACTCATGTCATTTTATGAATTCATTTTTTATATTTATTTAGTTATAATATAGAATCTGTTATTATTATTTTTCTGCTGTTTTATATCGGTTTTGGTTGATGGTAGGAAGTTATTTCTCATTTTGTTCTGTTTAAAATTGGTTAAAATTGGAAGTTCATTGCATTACAAGGTTTACGTTTTATTGAAAACACTGTTTATCGATATAAGAATGTCTCCTTGCCTCTTCGGAAGTGGACAAAAATCGGCGAGGAGATGTGGCCTCATCTGCATACGACATTTTCGTACGTTTGTCAAACTACAAAAAAGACCGGTTCATGAATGAAATATATCACCGTTTTTTCAGGTATGGGTTCATTATGAGCAAGATAAAAAGTGCATTAAGCAAAACTGCATATTTATGCGTGTTTTTTTAATCGGTGATTATTTCTCATGTTTTACGGACGAACTTCCGGTAATTTTTAAGACAGTTAACAGACGATTGCCAAACGTCTAAAATATCCTTGTGTTGTGTCAAGCAGGTCACGTAGTTACGAGATATAGCTTGATAAAATGGCTGCGCGGAAATACATAACGCGAGGAAACTGGTGACTATACGATATTTTTAGAGAGCGAAAACTGAGCCACAAATGTTAATACATGACGAGGGTCCGTCGATTTACCCAAAACAAAATACAAACGTCGATTTGCCCAATACAACCCAATACAAGCGCCGATTTATCCAAAACTACCCAATACAGAAAGTAAACACCTAATACAACCACGGACTTAGATAACATAATCTAATTCCGTTACTATCAGGAGTCGACAACTGGACAATGGATCAGTTATTGTAACATTGTAGATCCACTAATGAAGGTTTGCGACAGCTTTTATATGCCACTTTGGAGAACATGCAGATCAACATCATCAAAAACATATGGAGAACTCCAAGGTGTAATAATGGAAACCAGAGACATTTCAACAAATCAATGCATTATCCAAAACGAAATGATGAATTTAAGAAAGGACTGTGAAGAAATCAAACTAGAGGTGGAAGACCAAAAGTGTAGAAACATGAAATACAATCTTATTCTAACGGGTTTAATGGAACAAAGGTACGAAGCAATCGGAGACAAAGTGCGTGACTTTTTTCAGCGTCAACTTGGAATCACGCGACATATGGAATTCGCGAACGTGCACCGATTCCAGAAATACGTTCATGGTAAAGTCCGCCCAGTTGTTGTCCGCTTTTTGTATTACGAGGACAAACAAGAGGTCAAAGATCGTGGTTATATGCTACGAGGTACCCGATTCGGCATCAACGAACAATTCCCGGATGCAGTCGAGGAAAGACGGAAAAAGTTATATCCGGTCATGAGGCACTACAAGCGCGCTGGTCACCATGCCAAACTTGTGAGAGATCGTCTGTACATAGACGGGGAACTTTACTTGCCAGGCAGTGACACGGATAATGTACAGAGGTCGGATACTCAGAGGTCCTTTAGTGACGTCACTCAACAAAAAGTGCAGCAACATCAGCCTTCTGTTGATATGAGTACGCCAGCTAGCGGACGAGGTAGCAAAAGAGGACGTAACCCGTCTACCCCCGATGGGCGTGAACGACTTCAGCCGCCCGAGTCCCGCGCGCGCACCAGCTCGCCGCAGCAGCCCATAGCCAGCTTCCATGGTATTGGGTCGCCAATAGCACCAGAATGGCACTACACGCCAGCGCGACAAGAACGCATCGCCGAATTCCAACCGCGACCCTCGCGAGGACAACATACGGCTACTGGCCAGAGGTGGAGGGGTTCATCTTCGCGAAAGGACCACAGTGCGCGCTTCGATCGCGAGCCACCTAGAGGGAATCACGACTTGTCGTATTAGGGTTGTGTGGAGGGACTTTCCATTATTTCATGGAATATATGTAGATCAATCACGGACAAATTAGATACAGAAGAGTTTGTAAATATTATTACCAAATATGATGTTGTATGTTGGTATGAAACGTGGGTTGAGAAAGAGGATGAAGTGGAATTGGAAGGTTATGACAGCTGTGTGTTTCCTAGAATGCATGGTAAAGGCAGTGGAATTTTTATTAAATCAACTATCTTCGATTATTGTAGGGTAATAGATAACATTAATGACAACATTGTATTGTTAAAAATATCCAATAACATTAGAAATAATGTCAGTGATATATATGCATTTGCTTGTTATTTCCCACCTGTAAATAGTGTTTTTTATCACAAATGTGAAATTGATATTTTTGCCAGACTTGAGGAAATGGTGTGTGAATATAAAGGATTAGGTAAAGTGATTGTACTAGGAGATTTCAATAGTAGAACGGGTATTTACGACGATTATATAAGTAATGATATTGTTAATCAAGGGCCTGCGCATATTATTTCAAATATTGTAAATTATGTTAATGATTCTGTACCATCCAAACGTTCCAATTCTGACCTGCATATTAACCAATTTGGAAGACATCTTCTTTCACTGTGTAAATCTACTTCCTTGAGAATTGTAAATGGACGACATAAAGATGATCCTAATGGTAGTATAACTTTTTTGAATAGTAGGGGATCTAGTCTAATAGATTATGTATTGACTGTTGATGATTTCTTAAAGAATATTACTCACTTTGAGAGTGGAATATTTAATGTTTTTTCAGACCATTCTCCAATTTGTATTACTGTGGATTCATTTGAACAAAACGTAGTTGTACCTGATTATAATGATAAAGATAATATATATACACATGTTAAATGGAATGGGGATCATGCAGAGAGAGCATTGCATTTACTAGAGGAAAACCGTAGAGAGTTATTTAATGCTTGTAATAATATTGAGGATAATCAAAAATGTATAGATGAGTGTGTGAATAAGTTTACTAATATATTAAATGAATTGTTAATGCCTTTAAATGTTACTAAATGCACCTCTAGAAAGGTTAAAAAAGTTCGAGTGGAGGATAAACCATGGTTTAACGAAGTTTGTAAAAACAGATATATTGAATACAAAAACGCATTATTTACTTTTAATTCACTTAAGTCAGAGGAAAATAAGAACATTTTTATATCTAAAAAGCGTAACTATAAAAAACTGGAAACTAGATTAAAGCGTGAATATATAGATCAACAAGGTAATATGATGGATTACTTGCGAAAAAGTAACCCTAAGGCTTTCTATAGTAGATTCAAGAAAAGAAAAAATAACGATAAGGGGGATCTTAGTGAACAAGATTTTTTTAAGTATTTTAGCGAATTGTCTTCAACGGAACCTGTTGAGAATGAAATGGTTAATGAGTTTTTAAATAATTATGATGTTAATGTACCAAATACTATGTTTCAAGAATTAGATGATCAGATATCTGATAGTGAAGTGCTCAAAGCTATCAATAAATTGAGTAACTCGAAGGCGTGTGGTCCAGATCTACTGATTAATGAGTATTTTATTAAGGGTAAAGAGGTACTTATGCCATGTCTTGTGGTACTGTTTAACAATGTTTTTAAATCTGGTTTTTATCCTACATCATGGTCGGTAGGTAATATAATTCCTATTTTTAAGAAAGGAGACAAGAACGATACCAATAATTACAGAGGAATTACTTTAGTAAGTTGTTTAGGGATTTTTTTTACATCAATTCTTAATGAGCGTCTTGCTAATTTCGATAGTGACTATTGTAAATTAAGTGATGCTCAGTTTGGTTTTAAGAAGAATTTATCAACTATTGACGCTATATTTGTATTACACACATTAATAAGTAAAACCCTGAAAAATAGAAATAGACTGTATTGCTGTTTTATTGATTACAAAAAAGCTTTTGACTTCGTTAATAGACAGAATCTGTGGTACAAACTTATCAAAGAAGGTATAGAAGGAAAGATGTTGAATATTATACGTTCTTTGTACAGAGATGTAAAATGTTGTGTAAAGTATAACAAAAACATGTCAGATTTTTTTCAATGTAAAAATGGATTATTTCAAGGGGAAATTATGTCTCCTCTATTGTTCTCTTTGTATGTCAATGATTGCGAAATGAATTTTTTAACAGAAGGGTGTCCTTCTATAGAGCTACAAACTATTAATATATTTTTAATGATGTATGCAGACGATATGGTGTTATTGGCCGAAACCTCTGAGGGATTGCAGAAAATGTTAGATACTTTATTACTTTATACAAATAAATGGAATCTTACGGTTAATACTTCTAAAACCAAGGTGATGGTTTTCCGTAACGGAGGTAAATTAAGAGAAAAAGATAAGTGGTACTTTGATGGAGGTGTTTTAGATATTGTAGATGAATTTAATTACCTGGGTATATTAATGAATTTTAATGGTAAATTCAAAAAAACTCAACAAAAAATCGCTGAACAAGGAAGAAAAGCATTGTTTTCAGTATCAAACGTGTCTAAGAAAAAATATTTTAACGTTGAAACTCAGCTTCATGTTTTCGATACATATGTCTGTAGTATTTTTAATTATGGAGCGGAAGTTTGGGGCTTTCATAAAGCACAAGATATAGAAAAAATACATTTAAGTTATTGTAAAAGATTATTAGGGGTTAAGAAATCTACTGCAAATTTTATGGTTTACCAAGAACTAGGAAGATTGCCTTTGGAAATTATTAGGAAATTTAGAATTTTTAAATACTGGTTAAAATTAAAACAAACTGACAATTGTGTTTTACATGCATGTTATCAAGAAATGTTAGAAAATGGTAGTGAATGGATGAATGGAATAAGAAACGGACTATTTAGAATGGGAGTAGGGTACATATGGAGATACCTATACATCCGATTATATTATAAATATTATTAAAAGCAGAATGTGTGATATATTTACGCAAGAATGTAAAGAAAAAATAGATTCATCTTCTAAGTGTTCACTGTACAAGTTTATTGGCGAAAATTTCTGTTTACAACCATATTTAACAAAACCCATAGGAAATACAAATCTGAAAGAAATTACAAAAATTAGACTGTCATCTCACAAATTAAATATTGAAATTGGTAGGTATAACAATGTAGATAGGATTGAAAGAACATGTGCATACTGCAACAGTGGGGATATCGAAGATGAATTTCATTTTATATTAAAATGTGAATGTTTTTTAGATTTAAGAAAGCGTTTTATTAAGAAATATTACTATGAAAGACCTAGCATGTATACATTTATCCAACTTATGGAAACAGGGAACAAAAAACAGTTAACAAATTTAGCCAAATATATTAAACTGAGTAATAAGAAAAGAAAAGACTATGTACCTATATAAAGAGGGATGTCTCTCTTCACTATACCAATGGGTATGTGAGTGTGTATTTGTGTGTGTGGGTGTATTTGTGTGGGTGTATATGGGTGTGAGTGATTGTATTGTTTATCCTTGTATATATGTTTATTTTGAACTGATGAGCCGTAAGGTTCAAGGTAATAAAGAACTGAGATCTAGATCAATACAACAACTTGTGCCATTGTACCTTGCTGTGTTTGTTCCATAGGTGAATTGTCAGCTGAATGACTTTCGTCATGTAACGGACCTGCTCAAAATCCAGGTGGACTCCAGAGCAGCTATGAATGTTTGAGCTGACTGAGGAAATGGGCAACCATGTAATAATCATAGTATTTCAGTTACATCACGTGTACAATATCTTGGTAATAGAATATATCTTGGTATATATGTTCTGGCATAAGCCTATAACGGGTGGGTCGAAATTATCTAGTGTAATGTATAAACTAATGTACAATTTGCACCATAATTCTTTATTGAGTTTTAAATGGTTAACGTATATACGAGATATCTTAAACAATACTGGATTTAAAAATTTATGGACTTTCCAAATACCATGTACAATTACTAGGCAATGCTTGAAAAATATCATTAAGCAGAGATTATGCGATCAATTCACTCAAAGTTGCTTTCATGATGTTGAAACCTCGCGAGGGCAAGTTTACTCCTTATTCAAATTTCAGTTTAATATTGAACCATATCTTTTAAAGCTACAAATGAACGAAAAGTAATATGAACTCATTAGGGTTACCTTTTCATGAATCCCATTCCAACCAGATTCAATTAAGTGATGCAGTTCTTCTCGTTATTCTCTTCATAACCACTTTCTTTCATTTCCTGATGCACTCCTTCCACCCTCCCCTCCCTGATTTCTTCTTCTTCTCTTTGTCTTTTATACTATCAAAATATATGTAACAGTGCCGTCCTACTGCCAGGTTTATTAATAAGGAGACGAATTAATATAAGTACTTATGTACTTGTTTTCGAATCCTCTTTGTTGATTTTGTATTATTAATTTGTCACTGCCATATATTGAATACAATACTGTTTAAACTAATATGTAAAATTAGAACATCAAATATAAAATTTCCTATAGAAACAGGAAGATGGAATAGAGTCCCACGCGAGGAAAGGTTATGTCCCCTATGTAATAACTGTGTTGGGGACGAATACCACTACTTATACCAATGTACTAATGTATCTGTTGTAGCTCTTAGACAACTTTATATACCAAATTATTATTATGTCAACCCAACATATATCAAAATGAAAGGAATGTTCTCAATTTGTAACACGGTACTCTTAACAAAAGTAGGTAAATTTATACAAAGAGTAATGAAGCTACTTAATATCTAAAATAAGTTAGCTAAAAGAATTATTGAAATGGGTTGTTATTGTATAAATTGTATCATGTGTCATATTATGTGAGTACTATGTCCATCAATGTATGCTATGTATTATGTGACCTCTTGTTACGCACGTATACGTGTGGCGTGAGTGTAAAAATAAAACTTGAAACTATCCTTATATTGTGGTGAAATTTGGAGAAGACTCCTTGGTCCGAAATGGTTTGTCGTGCCGGTTGATGCAGCTTTGGCTCTTGTTCCTAACTTGTGTTTTGGTATCGTTGAGGAGGGGTCAAAAATTTGCCAATATGGCTTGTATTAATGTATATATATATATAAAAATGTATACTTATTTGTATATTTTGAAAGTGTATTTATTGCCTATATTCCTGTTGTTATAGGGAGTTATATATATTATATTTGTAATGTACATCGGGTCTCTAACTGCCGGTTGTGCCCGACAGTAGAGAAACGTCTCTGCTTCCGTTAGGTACAGTACTTTGTTTCTTTGTCAGGTTGGGCCGGAGTCTGAGATTATCCGAGGGGTCCCTATGGTGTATGCGGGGTTTTACCTTTAATTCTATGGTGTATGTTTATATTTAAAAATAAATAAATAAATAAATGGTAATTTATATAAATATTTGAGAATAAAAAAAGTAAAAGTTGGTTTTTAGGAAGAGGGTCTTATGGGGGGATCTCTAAGTTGCTGGGCTTATAATATATGTATCTTATTTGAACTATTTTTATCTAAAAAGATGGGGAGATCACCGATCGTATCATATCATGATGTCTTATATGGCGAGGGCGTACCATATCCAGGCTGTCGTTTACTTATATCCTACTCTATTTTATGTTTTGTTTTGTTCCTATATTTTGGAGGTCCGTCGAATCGTCTAATAAATGTAATCTAATCTAATCATATCCTCTGTGCCGGCGTTAACGCGCCTACTCTTTCGACAATACACAGAGGGATTTTTTACGTGCAGGTTGGACCCTCCTACACGGGACACCGTTTATAGTCCCCTCCGCCGGACTGTGTGTTATTGGTGAATGGTTAGATTCATGCAGGTACTAATTAACCTTGATTTTTGGCGTCCATTCTTGAAACCGTATCCAGTCTTTGCACACTATGGAAAACTTTCCTTCAATACCAATGTTCTCGTTCATATAAAACTTTTCTTGGCTTTCGTCTGTAACTGTTCACTGTTCTGACTTTTATAATTATGTTTGTGAGTATTAGAATAAGATAGTTGTTGGAGAGGTGGAAAGGAAGGGGTGGGTGCGACGGTTTTGTGCATTGGTGAGAGTTATCAGTAGGCAGGGGAGAGTTGGGTAGATGCAGGTGGGGTTGTCGGGTTTGTGCATTGAGTTTTTATATAGAGTTATATTAGTGCATGGGTAGTTATTAGATCAGGAATTGATGAGGGATGTATATGTTTTATGAGAGGGAGGGGTTATGTTGTTATATACTGTNGGGGGGGTGGGGGGGGTATTAGGGATGGGGCCCCATATGCTTTCTTTGTAATTTGATTCTCACAGTATTTATAATTTCATTAAATGTTTTTAATTATATATATCGTGAGGCTCAATGGTCAAAAGTAGGAGTTGTTTTTGAAATTTGTTAAGTTCTAATGGGTATCGGATTGAAATTTCAGCGTCTAGACCAATAAGAGCGATTCATATAAGTTGCAGTAACTTGTTTCATAATAGTTGTAGAGCGGTCTATATATATCCCAGAGCTTGCTACGAATATTATGCTTTTTGTGATCAATGTAGACTGCTGACGATTTGTGTAACTGCTCTTAATGGTTTAAAACAATAGTTTTAGTTGGTACATTAGGTATATGTAAATGAAGTATCATTTTGCTATCTTCCGGACTAACGTTAATGGACGTAAAGTGTTTCAGGTTAAAGTTAGTTGTTGTTTAACAAAGGATATTTAAAACTTTGTGTAACGTATTTCACCCATGGCTCTAAGTTTGTCATATGATATTTGTTTGACGAGTGCGCTTGATTTTTGTATTTTTGTCACTCGACCGATAAATTGTAACAACTCTTCATAGTTGTGCTTCGATACCTACATACAAGCCTATACCTACACAATAACACGAGGCATATGAGTGATTCTGGACCCCAACAGAAATGGTTGCAATATTGGTAAGTATACAATGTAACTAAATGAGAAAAAAAAAATCATTTTGTAGAGCCAAAATTAATAACACTAACTCAAGATACCGAGTGATTCTGGACCAATCCCAACAGAAATGATCGACATATTGGTATGTATAACTTAGTGAAAAAGATACACATGTTTTAGTGCCATAATTAATGACACGAAGAATGTGCTGATAGATTCTGGACCAATCCCAACAGAAATGGTCGACATATTGGTATGTGTAATTTATTGAAACTATATACATGTATATATACATTTTGTAGCGCCAAATTAATAAATTGACAGTCTAAGCAAGAAAAACGGAAGCGAAACAACGTTGACAGCAGGTAAATACCTTCACAGATCTAATGTAAAAGATGGCTTACAGAGCAGCGTGTCATTAGCGTAGTATACGTACATGTACCTTGTAGGGGTAGAGTATTCCCTATTCTATATAGAGTGCACGTGTGTAGCATGCTTAAAATGTCTTGACTTATTTTTCCCATTTTAAAGTGCAAACATACAAATGTACTTATAATGTGTAGACTATTCATTCTCGGATAGTATTGCGTGCGAATATTTAAAGGGGTAAGATGCATTGCACAAGGTGCTCCACTTTCAGCCTTTTTATTTTTTAACATTCTTAATGCCGTTTAAAACTTCACCAAAATGTTAAAATGCATATCATAATCATAAAGTAGAATACATGTGTTTTTTATATAAACCTTTCAATAAAATACCATATTCTGTCCATTCTTAACTCAACCACTCTTTTATTTACAGTGTTTTATTGATCGTAAAAAGGAAACCAATTTCATAACGATATACATTACCCTTAATTTTAGTTTCTGCAAAATTATAGACTTATTGATTTGAGCCCACTGAAACGATAAAGTTTGTTCATCACCCTTTGTAATGCAACTGTTACGAAAAAAAGAAAAGGAAAACAGATTCACGTGCGATATACTTTATTTAATTTACATTGACTACAATTGGTCTGGTGGTCTGTTACAGATAAACGTGTTCTGTCTTGCACTGGCCGGCTTATGTGTTGATGCCTGTTTGATAGCACCCGCGCCAGACTGTGGCTGTGTGTTTACAAACCATGACCCTATCCCCGAAGAAGATTACATCAGTGACCCAATACATCTTCAGGATGCCGCAAAATTTCGGTAGGAATGATATCTGTATAGAAATACTTGATTCGACTCCTAGAAAAAATGGAGAAAAAAATATTGAATTACAATATGAACAGAATTCCCAAAATCGAATATCATTGTAAGCATAGCTCGGGTTATTGTCTTTGGTTACTATATAATGAAAATATAGTTCCGTTTACTTAAATGTATTTCGTTGAAACTTTATTTGGACCTAAACCAAGGTGTTCAGGGTAATTTTACACGTTTTTCGGGTTTACATACACTTTCGGTAAAAATGCGATAGTTGACATTCTCTGATGATAAGAAACATTGTATATCATTCAGAAAGACGGAGAAAAGGAAAGATGACATATATGCATTTTCACCTTGTCTGACTCCATTTTCACACCTGAAGAAATCTGACGTTTCTCCATTATTAACTATTCTTGACTTTATCTCACTGTACATATTGACTATAAATCTTTGCATGTTTCCATTGATCTTAATTACTAACAATATGTGCCAAAGTGTCTCACGCCAAACGGTATCAACGGCCTTTTCGAAGTCAATAAAGGCACAAGATATGTTCTTTTGTTTTTTACTTTTGATAACTTCAAATTTGTACGATGAAGAAATTGTCAATTGTGGAATAACCTCTACGGAATCCAGATTGGTTTTCGCTTATAATCTGAAAATCCTCAGAGAATTAAGTTAATCTATTAGTAAGTATTGCTGTAAATAGTTTACCTACACAGCTCAGAATGACAAAGGGTCGATAGTTTTTAGGGTCCAATTAGGATCCTATATTTTTAAAAAATTGGTATAGTATTACCTTCGACCCAATTCTTAGAAATTACCCCCGTTGAGAATGCAACATTAAAAAGCTTTTCATTAAAAAAGGTAACATTATTGCTTTGGTAGCTTATTCGTTTTTGATCTAATCATCACCGCTTGATCGGTTGTTTTTCAAATTGTTTACACATTGTTCTTTTTCAATAGCTGGTATTGGTTCATTTAGCCTGATGTTAATGTTGTAGATCAATGTTGCCTATTTCATTTTCAAGTTCTTCCTTTGTTTCTAAGCGTTAGGTGATCTATGATTAAGGTCACGGGTTAAAATACATAAGACTTCAGTGTCTATGTCATTATGCTTATTTTTCTTTGGATTGATTATCTGCCAGTATTCTTTAGGATTTTTTTTTATTTCATTTCATGTAAAAGAAAATATATCTTTTTCCTGTATTTAGCCAAGTCTTTGTTTAAATTGACTTATACTATTTTCTTGTTTGTGCCATACAAGATCTAGCGTTATCCGATTAACATCTTGCAAAAGAAATTTTACTATCCCTGTATTATTTCCGTGCCTGTTAACATGCTGAAGAAAACCAAGGTTTGTCATCATTTAATTGATTAGTAATTCTAGTACCTGTTTTAAATGTTCCGAATATAGTAGCAGCAGCATTTATATACATTGGATTCATTTTTTCAACAGTTTGATTAATCGATTCCGCTGTCACTTCGTGCAATTGATGTAGCTGGTTTATAAATTCAATCAAGTTGTTAACATTTTCAACATTAATTGACCTAACAAGCATATCTCGTTTACTATTATCCCGTGGTTTAATTACATCAGAGCAACGATTATTATCCAGGGTTTGTGAAGAATTTGAAGGAAAATTGAGAGTCAACTACATGCTCACCATTATTGAAATTTAAATAATCAATTTCTGCACCGGTTCTGGCGTTAAAGTCACAAGCTAACATCAAATACTTGTCAGCATTCATTAATCGGTGCATTTCAGATTCAATACTATTAAATACATCTGTACTACTGTATTTTGAATGTATAGGACGCCAATTATAACACTTTTATCTGAATTGATAAGATTTTTGGACACTTCAACCCATAGAACAAAGCTACTTTCGTTTTCGTGTACATGCAAGTATTGCTTCAATTCATATTTAAAACCTAATAAAATCCCTCCTGACTTTGTTTTACTGTAGTTTTCCCTGTTTTTTATGACAAACTCAAAACCCTCCACTTTCAACACATCAATGTCTTCAGTTTTTCATGGAAGCATAAGATATCTTACTTTGAAAGTAGACTTTGAAAGTCGGGGTAATTATTCCACAGCAGTTGAGTGAAAGTGCCTTTAGATGGTGGTTTGAAGATATAACGTCATTAGACTTCGTGATGTTTCCCTCGCGTACCAAGGGACCTTCAGGAGTACGTTTTGGATTACGACGTCGATCCGGGGTTTCCTGTGAGTTGTTATTTGAGTGGCTCTGTGTGGCCTGTGGAACTCTCGTCATCATTCGCGCACCATTTTGACGTGATCACCATTCTCACGAAATTTCTTGAATTGGGTAGAGGCTTTTACGGGCTTGCTCTAATTCCTGTGGAACTGTTTTGTTATTCTGTATGGCTTACCTTGCAATTTATCTGCATTTTTCAGCACTAGGTCAAGTTCCTTTCGGACAATAAATTTGACTATTACTGGTCTTGGACCCTGTTAGATTTCTTGCCAAACCCGTGAACCCGTCCAGCGGTTTGTGTTGGAAGTTTCTGATTACAGCTTCAGTGTCCTCGCGATCCCGTTCATAGATACCAGAAAATACAAGAGTATATTTCATGGACCGGCATCTAAGATCTGTCAATTTCTCGGCCATTTCATCATTTCTTTTGCCACCTCCATAAGTTCTTTTTCTTTTTCGGCCTTATACTTGCTGAAAACTTCTTGAACATTTTCTACCTGGTTTTCCAATCTAATAGTTTGATCATGTACCTTTTTGTTAAGTTGTTCGCTTTTCTGACACGTTGATGGTAGTACCCCTGTACCATTTATCTCCTCTAACATTGTTAGTGTTGATACATTGGTTATAAAATCATCATTATAAGATTAAGTTTTACAGATCTAGACCGTCTACACCCTACCAGTTCTTTATAAACTGTATCTTTACCAAGGTCTCGGATGAAAGATGCTCTCGCAAGACACTGGGGAGCTTATACATTCATCTACTCCTTCCCTGACAAACATGTTTTCCCAGAGGAAAGGTAAGTATATCCGATACGCCGTTATGAATTGCACCCTGTGTTTTCAGTATAAGTTAGAATAGTTTCTTTTAGAAGTACCGTGGTGCAAATTATGTACATGCACATTGTATATGTACGATCGGCGATGCGTTGTACGATCGGCGATGCGTTTGACGATCAACGATGCGATGCAATCGTTTTCAGAATATGTATATATATATATATGTATACGTGCTGGATATAGTTCGTATATTTCATGCAAGAAAAAATATTTACAAAATTTAGAAATGAAAATACACGGGACTGGGGAACCTCTATATTTTATCAGATAAACAAACGTAACTGTTTTAGTAAACTGTACATTTTCTGTTATGTCTTGGTGGTACGCCCATCTCTATTAGTTATCATTCCCCCTTACGACTTGAAGTAAAGTGTTTAAAAGAAGATATCGATCACGTTACGTATTAAAATATATTTTTCGGTATGGTGCTTGAGGCATAAAGTCTTTTGATGTTTATAAGTAATTCACGGGAGTGAAGCTATACCTACATGATGGTTATAACACAGACCCTGTAACGCCACACGAGTTGGTCTCGTTCAATCACACTTTGTAAACCTTTAGCCCCCGACATCACTGTCCAGTCAGCCATGACATCCAGGACATTTGATTGGCTATACTTTTGCATAACTTCTCCTTACAAATATGGGAGTTTACCACAGGCGACTGTGTCTTTAGGGTACTTGAGCCTGCGGTACCCTATCATAAATAGAACTGGACAAAGATGACTGATGATTGCCTCATTACTCAATGGTGATGTTCAAAAGTAGTAGCATTAGCTATTAGGTAGCATACAATGTACTAGGGATATTTGACCAAACAATGACATGTTCATACAATCTATGTATATTATGGTGGCATATTTCTGCCATTAACTTTATGTCGACAAAGGTAACTCGTAATTCGGAAGTCGATGGCAGAAATATGCCACCATGTAGTTCTTTTTAGGAAATATATTGCAGCATCTAAGCGAGACAACTCGAACAAAACAGGCTGGAGTCTTCATGTACACAGAGAGAATTGAAGAAGAAGCTCAAAACATTATATGTGTAATTTCAGTGGGAAACCCATTTGCAAAACAGATCATAAACGCATACTGGGTTACTGGAAGGATTATGGTGTGACGCTGTGCCTGGTAGTTCGTCCTGAGAAACAAGTCCTGACCAAGGCGGTGTGTGACGGGTGAGTATTTTTATAAGTTTGATTCGATTTTAGCTATTGTCAAGCAAACCAAATATTAAAACGATAACATAGAAAATGAGATAAAGAGAAAAAGACATCGATATACCATATAAATATGAGATATTACCGATTGTTAGGAAATATATAAAAAACGCGTTATGACTTTGTGATACAAAATTAAGGCAATTATGAGATTTTTTCCCCCTCTTTTTGACAAATTAGTTTTCTCAGATACTTGGCTGTTAGCCTGAATCGGATAAACATCTGGGAATAATTCCCGTTACTTTTGATATTGACCATACGTTTGGAAGCTCACAAGTTATATGAACTGCAAATTAGTATTAAATAATGTTCATTACTCCAATAAGGAGGAGAGACTAAGGGTAGGTATTTAATTCGTGTGTAGTTCAAAAATGGGATAATAATAAGATAATGCAAAACCGTTAACACACCAGAACAAGACTGAAACAAAAAGGAAGAGAATATATTTTCCTTCTATTTATATAATTCTTTTCCCAAAATTAAAAATGTGCATAAGGAATATGTAAAGGTGTTATGTGTATCATAACTCAGTTAACTCGCTGATGTGTAACGGAGTGTAAACTCGCAGTCAGATTCAATGTACGCTATATGAAACGTATAGAATCCCGGTGTTGATAAACAAAGTTCGTTAGACCTGCTCATTGTTTACTATAGCCACCAACAAAACAGTACCTGGTCATCATGTCTCAATGACTGATGGCGTCCATCATATGGGGATATGAAACGTTTATGCGAGGGTTTTGCCGCGGTCCCGACACCGAATTGAATGTGTATCTCGTATATATAAAGGGCCGTGGTGGCCAAGTTAGGGCGTCTGACATGCTGCTACAACTGGCCCTCAACCAATGAGTTGCGGGTTCGAGCCCTAAATGGGGAAGTCGCACGTACTGGCCGTAGGTCGGTGGTTTTTCTCCGGGAACTCCGGCTTTCCTCCACCACCAAAACCTGGCACGTCCTCACATTACCATAGCTGTTAATAGGACGTAAACGACAAACAGATCAAACCAAATGTATAAATAAGTCTACGTAAAAGTAAGGGAACTGATAGATATTGTATTTCAGTAGATTGTGTGTTTTTTTGCTTTGACATAGTTTTTCACTCTTATCTTTGTTTGTTAAAGTGATAGTATATATCTATCTTTCAGTAATAAATTTATCAATTATGGACCTTTGTTGAGGCGAATATGTTGTTATATGAACCTGGGAAAGTGGTATTTACCCAGACGAAGACGAGGTCAATATCACTTACTCAGGTCCATATGACCACCTATTTATCGAAATAAAAGTCCTTTATTATCATATCAGAGGCTAAATAATGTTTTAATAATTAAACAAGATGAAACGTACAAAAATTTATCGGTGGAAAGTACGTACTGCATTTGGCAGAGACCATTGTGACGTTTCAAATGAAGTGTTGTCATCAAGTGATAAATTGACATGCTGTTTCGAAAAAAACATCATCACCGAATCAATATCACAAAATATCGACCCCAAATATCCAACCAATGAGGATGTAGGAAAGTTGTTTAACATCTAACATTAGCAAATGTACATGTAACACAAGTTTGTCATACTGTATTCTGTTTCAGCAAGGCGTGCTGTAACAACACTATATGTGAGCCGGGCGGGTTTGGACTGACATCTTACCTAGTGTACTGTGACGTATTTTACACGAAAGGATACGGAGAAGACAGTTGCTGTCTTGTCGGAACGGATGTGCTACTGGAGTATCATTCGCCGCATGTACCCGAGGACGATTTTATTGGCAGGTCTAAGCGTGATGTACCAGCCGAACACGTTGACGATACAGAAAGATATCGTGCTGAGCGACAGAACCATGATGTACCAGAGGATCAATACTTTGACAATATAGATGAGTATCGTGTCGGACGACAGAAAAGATTAGCAGGACCACCAGTTCCCGGATGTGAGGGAGGCAACGGCTACTTCGAGTTCAGGCATGACTACTTTCCCTCTACCTGCTCATGTAGAAACTGTTACGGTTGTTTGGCATAGAACGAAGGTGTCTCTATGATTAGAACAGTGCTGTACCCTTTGTGATACAATGCCGTGATGTCTTACAAATGCCAAATATATTGAAATAAAATAATAGATGTTTTGAAAAAAACACCTTTGTAAATGAATGATGTCGGTTTTTTATTAATTTACTTACTACTTTTTTACAATACATCGTTAATTGATTGTAATACAATGTTCATACATAATGTTGCCTAGAACTTCAATATTCAGTTTGGATTCGACAACTTCAAAAAACAAACACCAACTGGCACATGTTCATGATTGATTGGCCGAAAGTTATAAGGAGTGGAAAAGACTTTTCTGGTTACTGTGAGCATATATAATACACTTAAAGTTGCATTCACTTCATTTGTTTATCAATCTCTTCGCGGAAATTGAAAGTGTACTCGGTATAACTAGAGAGTTTCCTTAAAAGAAATCTTAAAAGATGCAGTCACGTCATGTGATGAATATAGAACATCGATATTGAATAAGTTCTAATATTTGTACGGATCAAATGGGTTTAAATACACTGCAGGTATGTTGCCTACATACTGCTTGTCTACTGTAAAGTACAGTAGTTAACCTAGTACTGACGTTTCATTTCCTTAGGATATTACCACCAGCAAGAGCATAAGATCACTTTGGGATCCCTGTTTCTCTTCCCTTGCTACTCCGGAGATTTGTTTCAGGTTAACGTCTTCGTAACAGCAAAGTTCATGTGAAGACAGTGTCTGTCTTCAGACGCTAAGGACGCTTATATGCAATCTCCAACGACACAAAGTGTCATTACAACTGAAATGTTAAAACATCGACACGGTGGCATGACACGAAAAGCCAAAGGCGTTGATGTTGGTACTCGCCTGTCTTTACCTGACGTTCAGATTTAAATGGGTGTCGGTAAGATGTGACCAGGTGGAGTGTCATTCTGTCTTGTCCAGGCTAGGGCATTTCAGGGAGACGGCAATCAAAGCTGCTCCTGACTGGCTCTGTTGTCTGAGGATACCGTCTTAATATGACGTAAGTTGGTGTGAGGGCGCAGCTCCTAAATACACCATCCGGTCACCTTTTACAGACAGTTTACCAGCCATCACTTACGGCCACACTTTTAAAGCTGAAATCTTTAGAGATCAAAAAAACCTAGATGTAATTTATGCAGACATTAAAGAGGCATCAATAATGCAATAATCAATTTGTTTGTCTATACTACAAAGTGGCACATATGGAAAGAAAAAAATAAGATAAAATTTGATGATGAATATGAAGTTGCTGACTCCACACAGCATATTTTGAGGTGTGTAAAACAAGAACTATGGTTTACAATCAATGAAATTGAAAGCGTTAAAATATATCAACAATTGGGGAATAAGTTACAAGTGATTTTTACGAATTGAAATTGAAATCAATGTAAGAGAAATTGAGTAAAAAGAAAGAAAATGAATAAGAGAAAAAAATAGACGGAGTGAGGAAGATGAGCGTACAGAATAGAGAGAGTCCGAGAATGAATATGATACATGTACTATGTACAGGGATTAGGTCAGGCCCCATCCTGTTTTCGGGATAATAAACCATAAAATAGCAGAAAAAAGCTACAGATACGAAGACCTCAGCAATTTTAACGTAGTTTGGCACCAGGGCCAGTATTCATGAAACCGTTCTCATGCCCAAAATCATATTTTGTGCTCAAACCAAATTACTCATTCTGGTGATAAATTGATAAAAATAGATATTTTGGTAATGATCTGAAATGTTTTTGGAGAAGCTCTGGACTGAATTCCATTTTCGATGTTTAAACATGTTTTTTTGACCGTTTTGCATGATTTAAACCAATTACAACAAATGAGGTTTGAGCAGAGAATCCATGCTTGAGCACGAGAACGGGCTTCATGAATACGGACCTAGGGGTTGAAAGACTACGTCCTGACTCGTGGACAGTCATGAAAGAAACCAAACAACAAGAGCCAGCCAGTATTCTTGATTGGGCATTAGAGCGAAAATCTGGCTTACTAAACTTCCTTCAGAACATAAACGACATTTAAAAAAAAACAGCCACCATAACCAACTCGCTCTCTTGCTTACAAATAGACATTGCTGCTTCCGAAGAAATCCACACATTACAGATTCTCGAAGACTTAAAGTAACAAAAAACTGATAAGAGAAGAAGGAATTTGAATCTAGTAAACACAGTGTCCGGTTTGCCGTCAACATTGCACTTCTACACTTACTATTGACTCAATTACACGACTTGTGATTGTTGTTTTTTTGTGTGTGCTACTACATACATTACAGTCAGTTGGGTTAAGAGATATCAAAGTGAATGCAAACTCAAAATTAATAACACTTGCGCAAAATATAAGCAAAGAAAATATTTAGACAGAGGGAGGTGAAGATCATGTGTTCAGAGAGGGTAAGCCTTGATGTGCCAACGACTTCCGTATGTCAATCTAGATCAACTGCAAGTAAATTAACGCTCTCCAAGAAAGAACCAGGTGAGTGACAACGAAAAAACAAGAAACATCTATGAGCATATATAAAATAATCGACCTTCATGTTACACAAGGAAAAAGAAATTTACAAATTACAAGCGTACGTAGGTCATTATGGGGACCATACTAATTGCTCATATTCTTTATCAATTTGCATTTTGCTAAATATTGCGTTGTATGATTGTACGTCAGAAGTCAGCATATATCACGGAGTTCATGATATTTGGAGCAAGCACTTGAAACCCGAACCAACCGTGACCTGTTAAGATCCTACGGTTGGGAAGCTGGGATGTGAAACATAATACTTACATCAAGAAAGTGAAAGTCACAGAAATCGAAATCGTCATGCGCATTGTATACCGTAGTAGTAAGCCGTTTCTGTAAGTCATACCAGTTGTTAGCAGATATCAGTAAGTGAACAACAATTCATTGAAATCTGGTTTAGAAAAGGAAACACGTTCGACAAGGACATTATTTTTTTAAGTATTCACACACAGAACAACGGCAACCTATCTGTATGTGATTTTAAAGGACTACTTCAAACTAGTCCCGAATAAATTCAGCCTCAAAAAAAATACAAATCAGACAATATCATCGCATTCAGTTTCCCTGAAGATAGAAACTAGTCAATCAGTTTCACGACTTTACCCACAGTCAATTTCTTCTCCGCCTTCATCTTGATGTATATATTTGAAATGAGGAATGGCCTTGTTTTATTCGCTGGGACCTAGGCGTGACTTTGATTCAATAGTTTTTATTCTGGATCGCCAGGTTTGTTTTTTAGGTGAGGCATATTTATAAGGCACGCTTTAAAGATATTGTTTGTCTTTTCCTAGATGTGAAAAAAATAATAATGTCCTTCTGAATAACATTGCTGCTTTCATGGAAATCAATAAGAAAACTATTTGTCTAAAATATTTTATTCTTGTGCTGATGTATTGTGTATTTGACATTTACATATGTATTATGTTTTTTCACCTTTTAATTGATTCGCTTATCAGAACGGATCAATTTGTGTAAATCAGTTAGCAAATACAATTTTCGAAACAAATGAGAAATACTATTTTCAAACTTCTGCACAATTTTGCTTCATATCTCTAAATATAACCACTTTTGCGATCGATATATTTATAGCAGGCAATATTATGGAATATTGGCTTTTGAATGAGGTAGTATCTGTAGGAAGAATTATAACCTTAAATATTTAAAGTTGGTCTGTTCAGTTGGTGAATTCGAACTCTATGAATTACTTGTTACACGTAAAAGGACGTAAAGCACAGACAAACAAGCATGAGTTAGAGGCGTTTATATCTTTATAATCGTCTTATGCACTGTATGTATACCTCAAACAGATCAATTGATGTAGGTAGGAGACACGAGTTTAATTCTTTATTAGGTAACTTAACTGGAATGTCGCTTTATTAGTTCGGAACAGCTGCAAGAGTTATCTCCATTTCCCCACAAAAGTGATGCAGATATTTCAGGTTTACACAAAGTATCGTACCAAGGTAATATATATGTTTACTGCTTCCGATCCTCACTCAGAATAAGTTACCATTCATATTATGAGACAATAAAATCATTTATTTCAGGAACAATATGAAGATTCATGTACATGTATTTCAAGAATATAGTTTTATTGACCAAACAATCAAACGGAAAGGCTATCATCGTCATCATAATAGTATCATCATCATCATCATCATCAAAACTGAAATGGCGGAAATACGAGTACATGTATTACATTGTACATTGAATATTTTAACGAAGATATTGATATTTGTACACCTATTGTACCTGTGAATTATGTTACCAGACGCAAAACGTACAATGCCATTGTATGTCATGTCCTACATGTAAAAAAAGAAAAATAGAAAAGGTGAAAATAAAAAATAAAAAAATTCTGCATGATAACGCTTATTTTTTTCTTCATTTGTTCGCTATTACAGTAAATCACCTTTATCAGTTTATAATGATCCCGTGGGAACCATAGTAGTTCTCTACAGACATACTTTGTCACAGAGGGTGATGTAAAACAGACATTGACATGTTCTAGCACAAAAGATTAGACTAATTAAAAGTAAGAATTGATAGTCAACAACTTACTGCATACCGAAAAGAATTCCCTGCAGTTAAAGTTATCATAAAAGCGATTTTTGTGCACAATTTACCCTTATTTCATGTGAAGGGTGAAATTTTCACATGGTGAATATTGATTTGACCAATGAAGGGGTACATTTGACTGGTCGAAAGTTTGCCGTGTGCAGTATTTTGATACCTTGTCTATTGTATCTAACAACTAAGCTGGTATCCCTATATGTACATGTACCCCTAGAACGATGACATTTGTGCCATTGTGTTGTTTCGTCAATTCGCCCATAAACCACAAAGGTCTGTTACACTGTATTCTCGTTATTTCCTCTCTTCGCCCGAAAATCTCATTATCATCTTAACGTTTCCGAACACATGTCACTATTTTTAATAATACAAAAATATAGCATTGAATTTAGAACCAACAATCGATACGTTCACCAATGCAAGGTTATCACTTATTTCAGTATCTTCCTGACTACGTTTCGTGGTTGCCCTTTACTCTGGGAGTCGACTCTACGACTATCAGATTTGCCAAGG